TGCATGCCCACATGCTTGAGGATAGCGGCATGGATTATGATGACGCCCGGGAGATTTCTCTCCCGGGCGCGTCTTCTTCTCTCATCGAGGCCAGGCCATCGGATGCTCCGGACGGGACCGCGCGGGACGAGAGTGAATTGCGGTTGCAGTCGCGTACGCCGCTCGCCTGTAAGAAGCGAAATCTGCCTATTCAGGTTAGCCCTGTTGGCAAAGGCGCCATTAAGAAAAAACATATAGAATCCGCCTTTGCGGATCTGGAGGCCCGTCAGGCCTCTAAATCGCCTGATAATCGCAGGCCATTATTAATTAATACTTCGCTCACGGGCGAAATTAATACAAAACAAAATAATAATAACAATAACACGACTATTGTAGAAGGATTATCACTCGTCGACAATAACAGATATCAGATTGACTCTGTACCACCATACATCGTCTTTATTGAAAGGTCACGCACATATCAACATCAACACTCACAGAATTCAGATAAACAGCTCTCCGTCGTCGGTTTGGGTAAGCGCTTATTTACAGCGGATAATAATATATTTAAAGATTCCTTTGATCTTAAAGTCAAAGGTAATTCCAAATTCTCCATCTGCTTCACTACATCTAAACAAGCAAATGCCTGCGTTGATTCTTTCAAACAATTTTCGGACAATATCGTTCCGGGTGAAACGTGGCATGCGTTTATACCTAATTATAAGGTTATTAAACAATTTATTATTCGCGGCATAGATGAAAATGAAGAACCAGAGATAGTCCGCTGCTCTCTAAGACCACCGCCTGAATGGGACTCGGAATGGACGCCGCCCTTCGAGGTAACTAAATTGCGTCGTCGAGTCCGCACCTCTGAAGCCCCCATTTCTCGGAACACGATTACAACAACTACAAATAAAACAGATACTTCTTATGCTTACATTGATACAGACTTATATATAGCTAAGTTTAAAACAGTTTACATTCCCACCTCCTTGATCTACATGAGCAAACGCGTTTTTCTTGACCCGTTGGTTCCTAGGGTCCGCAGATGCAATGCCTGCCAACGCTTCGGACATCTGGCACAATATTGCAGGTCGGGCACGGCCCCTCATAGGATCATTTGTGAGAGATGCTGTGAGAAAGGACACGCCAAATCCGTGTGCACTGGTCCTGCGCGATGCATCAACTGCATCAGAGCCCAACTGGACCGAGTGGACCATGAGGCCTCCGCTGGCACTTGCCCATCCTTCCTGAAGGAGAAAGGCATTCGGATGATTATGGCCAGATTTAACGTCCTACGACCGGAGGCCGACGAGATATATATTGAATGCGGAGGAGTTCCCGGCCGGAGATGGACCCGATATTCTCGCGCGATTCCTAACCCTACTTTGGGTGATTTTCTACCACCTCGTACGACGGCCCCGTCTTATGCAGACGTTGTGGCCGCACCATCATCAAAACACCCGCCAGTGGAGATACCGGTACATCGCGCGCGTCGGGGCCCTAGTTGGCCCCCAATTATACCGCTACCACCGCTCTCTCCTCGATCTAAACCCGCTCGCGCCACCTCTCCCACTCCTCTCCCTACTATGCTTCCCTCTCATAATAATCCCCCCTCGAATACTGTTTTAGATCCTCTAAAGCATCGTAATAGGCCTAAGGCCAGTGTAGCTTCTCGATTCGTTCACTCCGCTAATGTTAACTTTATTATTTCAGCCGAGAGCAGTGTGGCTCCGTTCGTTTCTGCCGATCTTCTTCAGCGTGTTAAATCAAAATATACAGAAAAATTCGCTACAGACATATATCTTCCGGATACAGTGAGTTATAACCTCATCTCTTCTATCCTCGAGGTAATCTTCTCTTGAAATCCAACTTTTCTTTTATCATTACCGAGCACATGTTACCTTTAAAAATTCTGCAATGGAACTGTAGAGCTCTCTTTCCTCGACTTGCCGATTTAAATTTTCTTTTGGAGAAGTATAAAGTTAGCATAGCTACTCTTTGCGAGACTCACCTCTCGCCGCAATCTGTCGTGAACTTCGCCAACTATTCCATTGTCTCTAAGGATCGGAACCGTTTTGGTGGAGGAGTGGCCATCCTCATTGAAAAAACGTTTAAATTTGAATTACTCTCGCACGATCGGCTACAACATGTGTGTAGTGAGAATGCGTGCGAGGTGATCGTTGTAAAGGTTATGTTAAACCCTAATTCCTTTTTATATATCATCTCTATTTACAGTCCTCCTAGAAGAAGCGGTTCCTTCACCAGACAGGGATTCTGGGAGAGGTTCTTCGATATTTGTTCCGCCTTCCAACCAGCCATTATTTGCGGTGATTTTAACGCTAAGAGCCCTCTATGGTCTCAGAGTCGTGAGATATCCGACGCGGAGGGTTCGAGGATAGAGAATGCTCTCCTGTCATCCGATTGGATGTGTATAAACTCTGGCGTAGACACTTGGTCCTCCCGCGACCTGTCCGCCTCCTCTGCTCTCGACCTCACTTTTGTCGAACCCTCTTTATCTAATAAATGCTCCTGGAACGTTCTTGANTACTNCTACGGTAGCGATCACTTTCCCATCCTCATTTCTATTTCCGATGTCTTTTATGGAAATGTTCCCGGGNGCCCGTCTATCTCCACTGTTAANGTCGAGTNGGATCTCTTTCGGGATCGCTGCNTTGCCANTCTTTCTTCGNTACAGCCTCCTGTCNNTGACAGTGTTGATGCTGCNTATGAAAGNNTAATCTCGCTNATTACAAATGCTCTTACTGATACAGGAGCTAAAGTACGAAAATTCCTGAGGCATCGTCGGAAACCGCCTACAGTGTGGTGGAACGACTCATGCATGCAGGTTATCCGAAACAAGCGACGTCTTTTTCGGCTCTTTAAGTCTTGTCCTTCTATCGCTTCCTTTCAGGCTTATCTTGATGCTGCCCGGGAAGCGAATCAAACCGTTCGGCGTCGCAAGAGAGAGGCCTTTCGTGAGTTTTGCTCCTCACTCTCTGCGACTTCGGATCTCAATAAAGTATGGGGAACCGTTCGGGCATTTACTTCCGCCCGACAAGCTACCCGGGATGAGTCAAATCGCAACAATATTCCTGAAACAAAATTTTATGAGGCTTTCGACAAAATTGCGCCTGTAAATTACTCTCCCCCTAACATTGATCTTGCAGTATTCGGCGACGAGTTATTCCCTCCACCTTCCTCAAACGACACGTCTTACCTAACATCCAACATATCCGAAACTGAGTATTTTTCAATAATCTCATCTTTGAAGACCAAATCGGCNTCTGGTCCCGATCTTATCTCCAACAAAATTATCTCGGAGCTGCCCAGGGATCTTCATATGGCAATCCTAAATTTATTCAACTATATGCTCACCTCTTCTCAGTTTCCTTGCCAATGGCGTAATTATTTTGTCGTTTTTATTCCCAAACCGGGGAAAAAAGGTGCTCTTCGACCTATCTCACTTGCTAATAACTTGCTCAAAGTTTTAGAAAAGATTATTTATAGGAGGTTGGAATGGTGGGCCGAGAATAACCATATTGTCTCGACCTATCAGTTTGGCTTCCGCAAGGGCCTTTCTTGCACTGATAACATTGCAACTCTGACATCACATATAAGAATTGCTAACCTCGAAGGTTTGGCAACAGGTGTTGTTTTCCTGGACCTTGTCGGGGCCTTTGATTGTGTTGTTCCGAGTATCCTTTTATTTTTTCTAGAAAAATATCACCTCCCGTCAATAATTATCAACTTTATTGCCTCTATTATTAACTACCGCCATTTGCAGGGATTTTTGTCCGGGGTCCCCATCCAGTCGCGTCCGACTTCACGTGGTCTTCCTCAGGGCTCAATTTTAAGCCCTTTGCTGTTCAACATTTATCTTTCCTTCATTGATAAATGCTTACCAGCCACAGTGCACGTTGTAATGTATGCCGACGACATAGCCATTTATTGCTCTCATAAGACCCTCGATTATATTGCTGGTCGGTTGGAGCGAGCGCTTGAGAATCTACGTTCCTGTTTACTGGATTTAGATCTGAGAATCTCTTCCGAGAAGTCGTGTTATACCTTCTTTTCTGCTCTCAGACCGCGTTATCTTCGTGTTCTCCTTCGAGAGCAGAGGATCGCGATTCGCATCGATAACGTCCCCCTGGAACTTAACTGGACCCCCAGTTTTCTGGGGGTGGTTCTCGATGCCAATCTAACCTGGAGGGCTCACGTTGATTCTGTTCGTAGACGTGTCCGGCCTCGCATTAACGTCATAAAGGCTTTTGCCGGCATCAAATGGGGAATACATCCCCTTTTGCTTCTCAACGTGTATAAGGGCTTTGTCAGGTCGGTTTTTGATTGGGGCTCACAGATTTTCTCCCCTCTTCCGGGCGTTGAGCAAGGCAAGCTGGATAGGCTGCAATTTGCTTGCCTTCGCATCCCTCTTGCTCTCATGCGTACAACGCCCACAAACGTTCTTCTCGAAATTAATGGCGAATTTCCTCTGTCATGTCGCTTCCGTCACCTTACCAAAAGGTTCTTATGCAAAGTTCTTGCACGGCACAACCATCCGCTCTTGAGCGTGCTCTCCCGCTCCACGCGACTATTTGTTGACGGTCGGAGAGACGAACTGGGCCATATCTTGCTAGTTTTTAATACTCAAAAAATCTTTTTTCGCCAAATTGAAACCTTTTCTCTTCCAGGATACCTTAATTATCCCTTCAACGTTCGATTCCTGGAGATGCCTGTGGACACCGAGTGCGGCCTCGCGGTACGCAACTCCGATGATCCTGCCGGCTCCTGGAACAAATTTATACGAAAATCCGACGTTTCCCATGTACTTTACACTGACGGATCCAGAAAATGCTATGGCCTGGCCGAACGAACTTCCTATGCTCTAGTGTCCCTGAATCCTCAGTACACTCTGGCTAAACGAATAAATAATCATTCATCTATCTTCGAATTTGAGGCACTTGCCGTTGGACGGGCTGTCCGATTTGCTCTGGATCACTTTTGGACTGACACTATCGTTGCTTCGGACTCTCTAAGCGTACTTACCTGCTTGAAGAACTCGGACCCTCACGGAAACAACGCTCCATGCATTTACGAAATCAAGACCTTATACAAGAATTGCCTCTCTAGGAATCTTCGAATTCGCTTTGTCTGGTTACCCAGCCATAAGAACATCGAGGGAAACGAATCTGCGGATCGGGCTGCCAAACGCGCTTTGCTCTCTCCTGATCCCTTTCTAACGGCCAAGTGCCACTACCGGAATTTATATTCCCGCTTTCGCGCCCAGGCACTAACAGAATCAGTGAGAAAAATTCTAACTGAGAGCACAGTCAAAGGAGTCACCTATTTTAACAAAAAAAGGAACATTCTTTCTCCACCTTGGTACTTGGAGCATCGACACACCATGCCTGCTCCTGTTATTAAGCTTATCTCTAGACTGCGGACCCGACACATTTGCGTGGGCGCCTTTCTGGCTTCCAAGGGGATCGTCGCCTCCTCTGACTGCCCATGTGGACACCGACTGAAGGATGCTGATCACGTCTTTTTCCACTGCCCTCTTTATCGGGACGACTCAGATGCCTTAATCAGCAAGCTCCACCGCATAGATCCTATCTGTAACCTCAGCATTGTGGACCTTGCCTTTTCCGACAATGTGGACATCTACAAAGCATTACACAGCTTCGTCGTAGACACCCAATTGCGCCTGTGATCTCCTCTTGTACTTCCCTCTGCTTTTGCTCAGCCAATCCGGACACAGCTTTTCTCTTTTTTGCCTTCCTCCATTGGCTAATTGCCTTCATGCACGCACACTCATTCGCGGCTTTTCCGTTGCATCATAGTTTCTCATCTTTTTATTTTAACATGTCTTCTCATTGGTTCTTTTTACTCGAAGAATGGCGTATGGGTATAAAGGGCCCTCTAGCCAACATCACACCGAACCGAACCGAACCGGCTTGCAGGGCTGAAAAGCGATTGCACATTCTCTCTTACAGGTCTGGGCTGTGTTCAGTTAAGCAAGATGGAACGAACTAATGGAGGAAATGCAGGAAATACAGAAATTGGAACTAATGAATTCCTATATTTCCTGCATTTCCTACATTAGTTCGTTCTATTTTGCTTAACTGAGCACAGCCCTGGGCTGTGTTCAGTTAAGCAAAGATGGAACGAACTAATGGAGGAAATGCAGGAAATACAGGAATTGGAACTAATGAATTCCTGTATTTCCTGCATTTCCTCCATTAGTTCGTTCCATTTTGCTTAACTGAGCACAGCCCTGTGTTCAGTTAAGGCCTGGTTTATGCAAGCAATAACTGTTAACTTATGCCGGAACCGGTAAAGTTTAACTATATGATTTTAATACTTCTGTTTATACGAAATTGCCGAATGCGTATAAACAGAAGTATTGGAATCCTATAGTTAAACTCTACCGGTTCCGGCATAAGTTAACAGTTATTGCCCGCATAAACCAGGCCTAAGCAAGATGGAACGAACTAATGTAGGAAATGCAGGAAATACAGGAATTCATTAGTTCCAATTCCTGTATTTCCTGCATTTCCTCCATTAGTTCGTTCCATCTTGCTTAACTGAACACAGCCCTGGCCGTTTTCAATCTTCTCTCTGGATAAACTTTTTATTATGATCGGTTACGATCAGTGGGTGCGTTCAGACAACTCAACAGTTGCACAACGGTTGAGTGATAATCACTTATGATTGGATCATACTTTTGGAACCGTTGCTGATTTTGAAGAATAGTCCTGTTATAAGTGATGATCTCTCAACTGTTGTTTTCTAAATGTAACCAGTGTCAACGAGCGTGCTTTTTCTAAATGTGACAGCGTCAATGTATTGTTACATGCAATGTTTCGAGATCGTTCGGAATAAGATTCGCTGATAAAAGGAAACAAAAATTGTACTGAAATAAAACTCATTCGTGTATCTATTGTCTAGTTAAAAGTTAATCAGGCTCAGCGTAAAAATGTCGATGATATTTACGCCGATGAATCAAATGAGGCTAACAAACGTTGCCGTCGTACGCATGAAAAAAGCTGGTAAACGATTCGAGATCGCTTGTTATAAGAACAAGGTGATATCCTGGAGAAACAAACTGTAAGTATTTGCGCGCAAATGAAATATCGCACGAAGAAGTTTTGGTAGAGAAAACAGCGAAAGCACGCTACTGTTTTCTAACTTTCATAACGTAGACTTTTTGTGTAATTTATAAAATGTTTTTTCTTGAAATATGTTTCAGTGAAAAGGATATTGACGAGGTGCTGCAAACTCACACCGTATTCATCAACGTGTCAAAGGGCCACGTAGCGAAAAAAGAAGATCTTTTACGAGCTTTTCACACCGACGATCAAACCGAAATATGCAAACATATTCTCGCGAAGGGCGAACTTCAGGTTTCCGAGAAAGAGAGGCATTCAGCTCTAGAGTCCATGTTCAAGGATATCGCTACTACAGTTGCTAGCAAGTGTATAAATCCAGCGACCAAGCATCCATATCCGGTTACCATGATTGAGAACGCCATGAAAGAGGAAATACATTTCTCTGTGAAACCGAATCGGAACGCCAAGCAACAGGCGTTGGATGTAATCGCGCAGCTGAAAGAAGTGATGCCGCTAGAGCGTGCTCAGATGAGGCTGAGGATAGTTATTCATGGGAAAGAGGCGAGCAAACTGAAGGACAAAGTGATGAACCTCGTGAGCAAAATGGAGACGGAGGAATGGGATAATGGATCGTTAACGATACACTGCCTGATCGATCCAGGTCAGTATAGAGGAATAGATGAATTGATACAATCGGAAACAAAAGGCACAGGTTTGGTGGAGTTGGTCGATTTGAAAGAAGTGATCGAGGGAGAAGAACTTTTAACATAAACTATTAATATGAATTGTTAAATAGATCAGGTTTGCTTTTTGAATCAGAGATTCAGATTTGTTAAGTATAATTTAATATGTTGACTACTTTGTTACATATATATATATATTTAACATTAATAAAGAAACTTGCATTTCTTTATTACTTTTACATCATCTGATAAAAAATGTCGACAAACATTTTTCATTTAAGATTGCAATTGACCGCGATAGAACTTTCTTTCTATATTAAACTACTGTATTTTTTTTTTATTGTTAACAAATATTTGTAACTTGTAATACATATTCAGCTTCTCAAAGGCAAAGATTCGACAGATAGAGGTACGATTAATCGTACCATCGAATTGTTTCTTTCACACTACAAATTACCTCATATCTGCGCTTACATTGTTGTTGGACGTTTATATGTATTTAGACAAAAAAAAAAAAAAATTTATTCGACATCTATGAGAATGTCTAGATCAGTATTTGTTTTACTTTTCCTCTGTTACTTCCGCACGCGGGATATAAATGTTCTCTGTGCGCTGATCGCATTTGGCTGCGATACGTGACACCGTTAGAAGAAAGTCCGACAGTCTGTTCAAATATGTTTGCGCCTCTCTGTCCAGAGCACCATCCCGAACTAGCGTTGTGATACTCCTTTCCGCACGCCTGCACACAGTACGTGCAACGTGCAAGGAGGCGCAAGCTTTTCCACCACCCTAAGTGTGGTATAGAGAACCAAGTGTTAAAGTACAAGATTAAAAGAAAAATTACTAAACAATTATTGTGCAATGTCTAGGTCTGAGTAATTACGGGAATAATGTAATCTTCCGGAGGAGGGAGCTGATTGGCATATTCGAGGATCCATTCCTCGAGGTCCTTGGTGTGCTTGCTCTCGAACGATCGTGTTTTTCCAGGCGTCGACTTCGAAATCGCATGACTCAAGTCAAACAGTATCATTTGCACTCTCTTGAGCTTGTCGACGTATGGATGCTCGACCTTACTGTCGCAGGCAAACTCCCGAGCGAGTCCAATATAGGAGGACAGTTCGTCGGTTGCTCCGAGCGCATTGAAGATCATGTCATCTTTCGGTTTCGTGTCCCCGGCGTCTGTGATCGTAAGTCCGGAATCGCCATCCCGCGAGAACACCGCTACCTCGGCGACGTTGGAGGACGTCGTAGTGCCGCTGCGACACAACGTCACTGTCAGTGAACAAATAATTACATACATGCAAATCTAGCAAAGTTTCATCGTTTTCGTTTGTTTATCGGCGCAGCGACGTAAATAATAAAAATTATACCAATACAAAAGTCGAAAGCTTTACATTTAATAAAACTCATTGAACAATATACACACCGTCATATGTGTTCGCATTAACAGCCATTAACAACACCTTTATATTTTTAATAAATACAAATTGTCATCGCGACGCGCGTTAGAGGTTACGGGATTTCAATACACCATACCTGTGTCTAAGAGATACACACTGCACACCGTTTTTATACACAAAAGCAGACTTCCTACATATACTTCTGACTAATTCCATTTTTTTTTTCCTAGAGTACTTGCAAATTCGATCGAATTGTGATGCAGTTTGTGCGCAACTTGTCACAATTTGTTGATCGCACTAGTGACATCGACACATGGAGAGCGCGACTGTTTGTATTAACGGTGTGCTTCCGCATAAAAACACCAAATTCCACGCATGCGTGTCGTGTTCTGTAAAATCTTGTTCACCATACTTTGGAAACAAAAAATCAAATTTATGTAACAAAACAATGTGAAAAGGGACAATAGGAATTGCGAGAAGTACTTGCCACGAATATTTCGAAGATATTTTTTAGACGTTTTCGGAAACTCCATGGCGCGCGACTATCTCGGGACATGTGGACATACAATTACCGTAGAAACGTTCTACTTTCGCGAAAACTAAACGCGACATTATTTGTTACATATCTTTAACGGTCGATAATAAAAATTCACCCGAGACGCGCGTGGATCAAAAATCGCGTCAACGCGTTGCGTAACAATAGCGATTCGATTCGAATCGCGATCTTCTGCAATTGCGAGAATCGATTGCGCGCTACGTTGGTTACATTTAGAAAACTTCGGGGTTGGTTTATAATTAAACCCTAACCGTTAACTTAGGCCACTGCCGTAAAAGTTGGTAAATAAAATAAAAATTATAAACTATCGTTTATAATTTGAATTGTGAACAGAAGTATGTACGTATTTCCCTATCCTATCTTTCAACTTTCACAACAGTAACCTAAGTTAAGGTCATCACGCATACAAATTAATTAAGACCGTAAGGAAATTGACCAATCAGAGAAATTTACGTCCGAAAGTGATGGAGATAATAAAATACATTCTGATTGGTCAATTTTTTTACGACTACGTTTTACGTTCTCACGTAATTTTATGTGTGATGGTCTTTAGTTGTTGGGACAATTATAAACTAACCCTTATGGATTTGGCCCGCTTTTATTCTTCTCTCTGGTTCGTAATAAATACTTTGGCGCTCGGTCCGCGAACGACAGCCGCGCGTAATCGAACGTATGACGACGCGCAACCGGCTGTTTGGATTTTCGCGCTAAATCGTCTGTGCCGGGACCGTTGCGAAAGTTGCAATGTCTCGTGCGTGGTGAACGGTCGCACCATGTTCGTGACAAACCTGGAAAAGGACTTCTACAGCGCGATACAGAAGCACGTAAGTCTGAGACCTATTTAGCTCCGTAAAGCGACGCGTTTCGTGCTTCCCGTAGAGGTTACGGTATTCTCCGTGCTCCATTCCTCGACACTTAGTCCAATTTGTTTGTTTGTTTCTTTTTTTTTTTCGCAGTTATTTTGATCGTTTGTTGTGTTCTAACAACCAGCTTTCGTTTTGTTTCAACGCGTGCGGTTGTCACGTGTAACTCAGCTCTTGAATATGAATTAGAAAATGATCGTGGTGCGTTTTGTTCACTTGGAAAGATAACAAGATGAGAGACACTTAGTCTCTTTAACTGAACTTGCACAGTTTATTTAAACTCTTTCTCTTTATTTTGAATAGAAAAATAGAAAAGATAGAACGATGCGAGAAGTTCGACTAAAAAAAACAGGCTCATGTAGAATAAGAGAATGTAAATATGGGAGTAAACGCAACAAGAATATATTGTGCGATTCACAGATTGAATCGTTTGCTTCGTAGCGTTTTGCACTAACAATTTTGTGTGAAATTTGTGTTTGTGTTCAATGATTTTAAAATTTAGAACGTGCTTGAATTTTTTGTATACATTTTATTGTGCAAAAATATTCTTCTGATAAAAACAACTCTTTTAATTCTTTCTTTGCATTATGTTTACAGAGATGTTTACTTCTTGTGAATTTCGACATCGATGCAATTTGTGCTTGCAGAATATTACAACAACTTTTTAAGAATGATCACGTGATATACACCCTCGTGCCTGTTCGGGGTGTTCAGGATATGATAAATGCGTTTGAGGAGAATTGCGACGAGGTAAAACACTTGTTTCAGCTACTTCTTACATGCTCTGTCTATTAAATCACCACTTGCTATTGGTTTGCGATATAAAACGCTAGATATCAAGTTGCGATTTACTTTCGTTAATGCGGGAGCAATTTTGAAGTTTTTAAGAAAATTGGTTTTTTAACAGTCTGCAATTGCAATTTTTTTTCCAGATAAAGAATGTCGTTACAATAAACTGCGGTGGTACTCTAGACTTAGTGGATTTACTGCGACCAAATGAATCTGTGGTATTTTTTATTCTTGACAGTCATCGACCTTACGACTTATGTAATATTTATTCTGAGAGTCAGATACGTATTCTTGGCAAATCCGATGAGGACAATGAAATCCCAGAATATAATGATATATTCCGAGACGATAGTGTATGTGTAATATTTCTTGTAAAATATCATCTCTCTCTTATCTTTCTGTTTTGTCTGTACAGTTATATTTAAATATGTGCAGTCAGACGAAGAAGACGAAGACGAAGACGAAGACGGTGAAAACAGACAGAGCAAACGGAGGAGATTGAATGAAGAAGATCTTATAAGACAAAGTGAACGAAGAAAATGGCTAGAGAACAGAGCGACAATTCTATTCAATTATACTCAGTACAGTTATTATGGCAAATCAGTGTGTATTGGAACTAAAAAGAGAGCTTAGTAATAAGGGGTACTAATGTTTTGTCAAAATATGTGTCTATATTCTTATTACAGAGTGCAACAGTAGTTTTTGAAATGGCATGGAATATGTCAAAGGATAATTTGGACATGGCATGGTGGGCAATAATTGGTTCAACAGAACAGTCTATCCTCAATAAAGTGGAGTCGCGAGTGGCCATTCTTGAGGAAGGTTCTCTTCAAGCTCATGTTTCAAGATTAACACATAGACAAAGTGTTGATGTCGATAAGCAAACACAGCAGCAGAGTGTTGCTAAAGTTACTTATGACAAAGAGTATCCTTTTAATAACTTACTCAAAGTTTTAGAAATATTGATTGATGATTCTAATTTAAAACACAAAATGCGAAAAAATTCAAAAATATATTAAATCCTTAATTTATTTAATATAAATAGTCTTCAATTAGCATTGTATCGCCACTGGACGGTTGAAGCCAGCTTGAAATACTCTGTGTCAACTGCGGTGTCGTTCCGTCTTTGGTCCATTAGAGGTGACCAACGTTTGAAGGAAGTTTTGGCGGAAATGGGTTTACCTTTGGTACAATCTAGACAGCTGTTCCGTGCAATGGATCTTATGTTTAGACAAGAATTTCGGCAAATGGTAGAAAAAGTGGCCGACAAGTACAACGTCAGCAGCATTATTGGCACTAGTTTTATCTTTCAGTACGGTTACCGCTTTAAATATTGCGCTTCCGATATAGTGTATGCTATGTTGGCCCTGCTGGATTCTACGGTGAGTTGACAGTTACTAAATAAGTACTGACTTTTAAGCAGTACAATATTTTATATGTTGTTAAAAATATATTTTTTATATGTTTATTGAAATAGAGTTTTTGTCGGATAATGTATTTTCAGATGAAAGATAGACAGCCACAGCGATGTTTCTTGGACGCGCTGGATTGTTTGTCGCGCACAAAGAAGGATACTTTAGAAAGCGGCATCGAGAAAGCAAAACTTATGCTTCTCAATATTTTCAAAACGGCAAAAAATATATTGGAAACCAAGCAAGTAAAGAATTTCGGTTCTTTCTTGTATCTCAGCGTGCCAGATGGAAATATAGACACGTATTTATTTATGCATCCTCATCCTCTGATTATGCTAGCTCAGTTTGTGCTTAAAGCATACGTGAGTTCTACGAGGAACAGACGCGCTTCCGAATGGCCCCTTGTGGCCTCCGCTGTGTTCAACGCGGAGGAGGGAACGTGTCTCCTCGTTGGCATACCGCCAGTCTGTGAGGATCAACCCAGAAGGTAATTCCAGACGCAAGGAAAAAACATATACAAAAACAATGATTCACAGTCTTTAGAAAACAAAACAAAACAAAAAAAAATTAATTGTGATAATTATAAATCTGTTACAGTTTATTCGGGAAAGCGTTCGAGCAAGCCGCAAAAAATAAAAATTGTTACATCGACGCAGACTATTTCGACACTACGAGTAAGTACAAAGTAGAATACGTGAACTGTGCGTGTTAATCGGTAAGACACATCATGACACATTTTGTTTTTGTTTTTTCTTTGCAGTAATAAGACTGAAAATTGAAGAAAAATCAAAGTTTCTCGATGCTCTCGCAGCCCTTCTTGCATGATCATTACGGAATCGTTATAAATCGGACGAACAGCACGATGAAATAATCGAATTTCTTTTATTTAATGCGACTATCAGAACAATTTAATGCACTTTATCGCACGTGACGTACAATGCCTTTTTTACGAACCGTAAAATTTTCTTTTGCGATTTAGACGCAAACTTTTTTAACCAGCGACAGTAGTAGCTTTATGTTTGTAAAATATTTTATGTATAAAAAATTAGAAGGTACAGAGAGAAAGAGTGAGTGAGTGAGTAATTTTGTATGTAAATGTGTAATGTGTTGTATGAAAAACGCTTAGGATACAACAATATAAATAAACAACGGAAGATCATACTGTTTTCATATTTGCATTGATAACTTAAAGAATATGATAAATTTAATACTTTTATTTAAAAAAAAAAAAAAAAAAGAAAGAAAAAGACTGCAAAAATAAATGCAAATTGAGTTATTGTTTTCTGGACACTTGATGGTCATTATAATGCTCAGCGTTGTTGCTAACAATTTTATAAAATAGAACTGTGTGTATATTTGTATAAATAAGGCATACGCGAGATGTGAGATTTTAAATGCTGTAACAAATTTAGAAAGCGGTTTTGTATACACTACAATAATGAATAGTTTTGTAAACACTACAATTTGCTTGGTGCATCTACTTGTTATTTATTAAGTAATATATATATATATATAATTTTTTTAAATATATTTGTGTGCGTGTACGTACACTTAAAAATACAAATTTGATCGACTTACTTTTTGTTTATGGTATAATATGTATTTTCTTTTGGTTATGTTTTCACAAAGGATTCTACAAGAAACAACACTATGCGGAGATTTCTCTCTACTAAAAGAGTAATAATATCACGGAGACGAAATTGAAAGAGAAATAAAGAGATAGAAAAGGATTATTTTCTTACACGACATTGGGTCAATTGCACACATTTTTTATCAAATTTGACAAGTAAAACTTTTGTAAAAACATTTAAGATTCTACGATATATAATCCAGAACACGTGAATAAAATGCTTATTAAGAGCCATAAACGTCAGTATGCAAAAACTCTATTTGGGTAAAATTGTTAAATAGAAAAAACAGTTTTCACACACTGATCGCGTTTGGCTACAAATTTGATTTCTATTAACGTTCAATAATTTTTTTTAGGCCGGCACTTGTTCGCTTACTTTTGACGTTTTATGCACTGTTGCTATTTTATTTATCGGCAGTTTGTTGTCGAGAAATCTATCGACAAACTGTTGCACAGAGTCCACGGTAATCTCGGCGCCGTCTTCCATCACCACATAAATCCCCCGTGGAATGTCGATGGCAGTCAAAAGAGGTACTGCGTCATCCAAACCAATGAATTCCCGGAGAATGTCAGATGTCTCGCACTGCAGTAATCACAACGTGATTTACGAACGTCTTATATTCAAGGACTTGTAATTTTTTTATACTTTTTTAAGCATGAACAAAAATGGTAAAGCATGATTTTTGTTTTTTTTAATTTGTGCAATGTTTTGTATATATTTCTTTATATAAATTATACAATCTGATGTTTCAGGTTGAGAAAACGTAAAAGATAAGTTTACGTATATGCGTGCCTTGTGCGTACAACTTACGTCCAAAGCTATGTAAAACTGCAATACATCATCATCAGGATCGTCGTAATTTGGATCATAATCGGGCTGATCCCTTCTGTACGCTTGTGCAGCTGGCAGTAATACGCTTTCTGCGAACTGAATTTCGCAGTCCTCTCCCTCTGCGAAACATTAGAAGAAACATTAGATTGCGTTAAACTGTAGCTTTCAACAGATTTTTTCGATTTTTTCTCTTTTTCTCGTGTAACTTTTATTTACATTCTTACCAACAAACAAGATAATAGCCGGAGCATCGTGTAACGACGTGGCGTACTTTTCTGTTAAAATATTCACCAGTCTACTTGTCCAGGGAAAGTTCTGAAACAATATATATGTAAAACTTGGCAAATATACGATTTTGTAAAAGTACGATTGTACAATAGTATTTTTTTACATAATTATGTAAAAAATTTTCAGAATATTACCAGTCCTTCTGGATCTTCGACCAATTCGCCGCGACCGTTCAGAGTGATTATGTTATCGCGAGGATCCAGAATCACCAGAGTCGGTATTGCTTGAACGTCGAGAGCCCTTGTCAATTTTTGGCGTCTTTCCTCCTGACTGAATGGTATCCTCAACCACGGCATTGTTTCCGTGTACGCATTATAGGACTCTTCGCTCCTGCGATGAAAATGTACAATTGAAGTCTTTCACAAAAAGAAATATTAAGAAAACAAAAGATCTACGGTATAGCGAGTAGTATACACAGAAAACTCTGTCGAACAGAATAAACAAATATCCTGAAGCAAGAAGGTAACAATTATAACAATGCAAAAATAAAAATTTTCACGCATAAAATCTATATGTGTGTTGTTTTTAATTTTAAGATTAATTTTAAGACCTTACCTATCTGAACTTACGAAAATTACTTCAAAATAGTGACCTCTCTCTCGGATTCGTTGATACGTATCTACGAGTTGCGGGGTAAATGCTTTACAGGGTGGACACTGAACAATATAATATATATATATATATATATATATGTATGTATATATATATAATTAAAAAACTACATAATAATTAAAACTACGATACACATGTAAATAATACACATTAATACACGCAATTTGGAAATGTGGATTTACTGTAAAAGTGAGATTAATAATTTATAAAATTTTAAGAATGATTATATTTTGGGTTGAAACAAATTTATTTTCTGTTATAAAAGTTAACATTTCTAATACGCATTTACACAATTCGGAAACACGACTTACCCAGTGTGCACTAAAATAAACTCCTTTGAAACAGTGACGGAGTTCTTCGTGTAACATAGGCTCGTTGCTACCCCGGGCACCACATGGCAGAAGAGGTCCGTCTTCGAGGGCGGCTTTCGGATGTGGCGGTCTCCAAGGAAATTCCACGCCGGTGGGATCAGCAATGGTTCGTTCAACACCGCCTCTTGTTACTATAGACCCGTTAGATCCTTCGAGTAGTATCAGCGTCGGTACATTAGTCTTTATCCGATATCTTCGAATTAGCCTGGTCTGGAAAAAAACGCGAAAAAAGTTTAATCATATTTGATGATGTCGGATCGAACAAAGATAATCGAAAACCTTCTGTCAAAAAAACTATATAATTACATCAGTTATATTGTTGCCTCGGTCAAATTGCATCTTAATATTCTATATGGTTTAACATAGAATTATTAAAATAACAGTAGGAGGAAAAAAGATGACGGTCTCTCGCTCAATAATATCAACGGACGCGAAACGCATTCGAGAGACGTATATTTCTCCAGAGACTCTACGGGGCAATAAGCGTGAGCAGCTGCAGTTGGAACTTTATTTTCAGAGGCGAGTAATATACATGTAAACGATATTTCTTGGAAAGTAATAAGGATAATGAAATGAAAGCCGTATTCACAACGATCAAGGATAGAAATACGCTAATAGATAGGATACTTGTATATCATGATCTTGTTTTGTGTGCACAAAATAACATAAAAATATTATATTTTTACTTATAAAATATAGGAATACGTATATATAAATTTTCTTATCAAAAGAAAGAGGAAAATATTGAAAATTTTTCAGGATTCTTCGCGTTGAGAGAAAATTCGCTGACTCTTTCCATCGACGGAGCGTCATAATCCGAGCGAGAAGAGAGAAGTTGATGAGCAACGCGCGCGGGAGTCTAAAACCATCTTCTAGACCCCCAAAAAAACTACATTAAGTCAGTCGACCTTTTTCACGAACGTTCAATCTCGTAGTGCACTCCCCCGCGTCCTTGGCAGTTCGATATCTCGAGGGAGAGTCGGACGATTTCTCGTATCGCCTCGTTACGGTTTACGGCCGCGCATAAAGGGTGGCGGATGAAGGACGGAGAGAGGATAGAATAGGATAGCAATAAGGCGAGAGAAGATCGGAGGGGTCGGCGAAGAGAAGAGTTCTACCGTAGGTAGGTAGGTAGGTAGGTAGGTGGTAGCAGACGCGCGCGTCGTACGTTATCGCAAGTACTTTTGCCTGGTTGTAGGGAGAGCAAGGGAGAGAGAAGGTCGGGGGCTCTCTATCGTAGAGGGTAGAGAAAGTAGGCGGTGGAGAAGCGTCACTTCGTCTCTTCGTATAATTTCCCGCGCGGCCTTCGGTTCCCGCGTCACGTGGTATTCACGACGAGGTTCGCGCTCGCCCTCGCTCGAACCTCGAGCGGTCGATAAGTTCTCCCTTGTCCGTGTGTTGCCACCGCTCGCGACGACCGTGTGCTATCGTTATTTCCCTCAGTACACTGCGCATCATAAACATCCTCCCATTACACATGAGAACCGTTTTACGTAAAAACAAAAAAAAAAAAACAAACCAATCGCTCTTAAGTGTACCTAATGAAGCAAAAAGCTGTTTCGAAATATTTACAATTTAAAATGTTGTTTCTAACATAGTTCAATTTAATTCTTTTTTAAAAGCAATTTTTATTTTAAGTGGGACAATTCTTATTTATATCTCTATATTTATTGTGTTTACATTTGAGATCAATTACTTCTCATATATTCATATTCATTATGTTGTATCAACAAACTTACAGTTATAAAAAAATGAAACTGATTTATAATGACGTTAAATATATCGCGCGCACACACATATACTCTGTATACATTAGACTCACCACGGTGTATCGCACACCGTGTGTTTCTGTCTTTCCTCTTCTTTCTTTCTTTCTTTCTTTTTCCCACCCATCCTGGGTTCTCGTCGTATTCACAGAGCCTTCCCTCTCGTTCGCTCGTCGCCGGCGCGAATCCCTCGCCACCGACGACTACGGGTGGAAGCGAGTGCGGCTAAAAAAGACACCGTGCGGGAAAGAAAGAAAAAAAATTGAGAGAAAGAGAGACGGACGGGAGACAACAGCGCGGGGAGGATCACTTTTGACTGGTTCGCACGCGTTCAATCGTTCCCCGCGTGTATACAGACCGCAGTCTGTAATCCGACGCCTCTGCTTGTGCGCTCAACTGCAGCCGTCGGCAACGACGACCACAACTCGCGTGTTCCTCTATTCCCCTTTCGAACTCCCCTTTCGTGGTAGCCACGAAAGTTACTCGCGCTCGCAGATAAGCGAATATGTCGCGTGTAGGTGGCTCGTTATGACACAAAATTTACCATTTTTTGCGGATCTAAGTTGATATGATAGACGCGAACTCTACCCTTCTCATCCCGGGGGAAAAAAAAACGAATAAATAAAAAGAAATTCTCAAATATTTAAGATATCTATAATTTATATTAAAGATGCGTCATAACAAGTCCAAAGTTTTTTTTATCATCATATAAGATGCAAATTTGATTCGTTGAGTCATGATGTAACTAAAGTAAATCTTTGCGGATGAAGAGGAATATATTAGATTACAACGGAAATATGTAACACGCAGAAAGATCGATACACACGATGATAGCGTGTGACTCGATGTACTTGTCTCGGGATTTTTTCTTGCAACCGTAGGGTCCGCTTTTTATGCGAGCAATTTGTGCGTTCACCATTTTGCCTTTGACCACGGACTAATAGGCTGTGCACAATTCATGGACGCGTGCACGGGAAAGAAAAAAAAACAAAAAAACCAAAACGTATAAAACAAAGCCACGACCGCCGCGACAGGCAGCGGCAGTGATAACGCGCGTTTCCTGTTAGATCTCCGCGCGGACACACGTTCGAACACAAATATGTCCGCTGTGAAATCAATGCGTTTTTTTTTTTAATACGACAAAACTTAATTTTAAAAATAAAAAACAGACATACGTACACATGTTTCCGAAAAAATACACAAATATTGTAAGAAATCTTTCGTTCATATGTGGAAATTTTTTTGTCTTATCAACTTTTGATTTTTATTTCAGTGCAAAATTAATATATAATAATATAAATAAATAAATAAAAATATATGTATATACATATGACATTCGAGATCTCTTACAATGTGTTTGCGCAGTTAGCGGTTCTTCCATTGATTATATCGGTTGTGTATACTATCATTTTATAGAGATGTATATACACAATCATTGAATTTGGACACAGTCAAGATCTGATCCATCCTAGCTCCCAAGCTAGCTCTTCAAGACGATTTACAAATTGTTTGTAAAACAAATGTCTAGAATGCATCTCTCCGTATACACACGTTGTGTTTTGTACACGCGCGCACGTTTAAAATTTGAAACAGTTAATTTCTCTGATTGAAATTAAAGACATAATTACACGCATGCAAAAGAGAAAACGCAAACGCGAGAAGACAGTTAAAAATTTCATGAACTTTCGTTTTACGGTTTGTGGACACGCGAGGCACTACCGGTGCTTCTTGATTCCGAGAAGACAGAGAAAGAGAGAAATACCTACAACGCTTCATCTTTCACGAGTCGAGCTCAGTGTGTACGAGATCTCGCGAACGAAAAGAAACATACACACCGTACAAGCTCAACACATCTTTTCCGGTGTATCTCTCCTCCTCTTCCGATTCCTTTCATTATCGCGTGGAACGAACGAGAACGTTATTTGAGGAAGATATGGGTCGCCCGTCGTCTGTCCGGAATAAAAAAAAAAAACGACTGCATCGTAGACGTTTTTCTTTTTTTTTTTCTTCTTCTTCTTCTTCTTCAACAGCGCAGCGCTTTCTCGTTAGCACGAGACTGCTCTCGCGCAAAGACTTCGCGTTTTCTTATAAACACGGAGCGATTTAAAACGTCCGAGCTATGAGCAACCTCGCTGATTAAAGCGTTGAAGCGATACGAGGGACTCCCACGTAGATGCTTCTCCATTCACACATGGTGCGCCGCGGCACCGGAGAGTGTCATCTCTCGCTCTCGTTTTTTTTTCTCGCGGAGATAAAAGAGGGCCATCGAAAATGTACGGACGCGAAAAAAAGGCGAATGACCGGATCTCGAGCGGTGATGCACACTTGCCACGTGTGCGTCTTTTTGTGATCTTATCGATCCAAGTCGGCGCACTTTTCCGCTGAAACAAATATTTGTTTTTTTCGCAAGAAACGGGGGGTGCAATTAATACGTCAAAGCTAATAATTCGGTCTCGACGTGAAAGCAATCTTGAATTATATTTACTTTGAATGTCGAGAGAACGCGTGTGTGCGTTAATATAAAGAAATATCTCTTTTAAGCCACAGAGAGAGTAATCTTCAATTAGCTCAGTTCCTCTCTTACTGGTAACGGAATTGTATGACGCCCGGTTGTGCACAAAGCGCATCCATAATTGCAGCGAGACGCTCTCTCAAAAGCGATTATTCGCGAAATTAATGAGCGACGGCCAATCACGATACTACTTGACGATGATTACGAGCGGAGCTACCAGCGCTATCGTCGTTAAGGTCTCTTCGCAATTGAGGCCGATTAAATGCATTGTGCCTCGTGGTACAGTCTCCATTATAAACATCAATGAGCCCGAAGTATATCGGTTGAATAAAAACGTTGCAAAGTGCCTTTGGGTTTTAAATAATGTTCAAACAGCATTTTAAGTAAGCGACGCGAATATAACTCAAGCGGCGAATTAACATTAAAAACAAAAATAACGTTTTTTTTATTAGATATATTATATTATCTGTATTTTTTATTGTTGTTTCTGCACACGCATGTTGCTAAACAACGATAAAATAACGATATAACAATCATGGAATTTGTTGCGATCAAGTAAACAAAATTTTTCAAAACAAAAATCAAGAAAAGAGAGTAACGCGATATGAAAATGTCGCGTTTCGCGCATACTTGTCATCAAATCCGCAAACCAAGCACATTGTCAAATATATCCTTTGACGCGCGCTTCAGTTTTCCTCGATAGTACTCTCCTCTCGCGACAACGAGAAAGTTCAAGATCGAGATGCATCAGATCGGAGGAAAAAGAAGACGTGTCTCGCAAAACGAAAGCACTTCATTCAGAACAATCGTCACACACAGCCATTTACACACATGACAATCTTTACAAGCTGCAGTTTTGCAGCAATTTTTCTTTGTCGCAGTGTTTCTTCCAGTTGTATCAACAACGACGTATAAAATGACAATTTGATCTCGCACAGGCGGATAATATTCGATCTCGAAAACACGAAGCGTATGCAACGCTTCGATCTCTTTTCCTCCTTCCTTCCTCATCACGCGGGGAGAGAAGAGCGAAAAGAGAAACGGCGCAAATAAAATTCGAAACAGAACGAACGAGTTAAAACGTGTTTAACTGAGATGAGAAACCCACGTGTTGCCTTTGGATACTTCGTTCTTTTTGATATTGCATTCATATTCAGTTTTCAGTCTTTGGAAACTAGGACCGACGGGATCGTGACCGACCAATTTGCATTTCGACTCGAGCCGTCAATTATTTTTCGCATCGTACACAAAATGTAAATAAACGATGGTTTTTCTTTCCCTTTTCAAAAAATTACGTAGACAGATTAAACAGTTTTAATTCCTACTAGGTATGGATCACGAAAAGCACTTTTTTTCGGCAGTTCGCAATTAACTTACAGAATGTGAAATTTTGTTAAGACATAAATAAGTTTGCCCGCTCTATTAATAGACTTCTCAGTTTCTTATAACAAATTTATTCACTTATCGTTCTTCGCCTTAAATATTTGGTATTTTAGTTCGTTAATTTCCTTTAGTTTCTTGTTTTTTTGTTTTAACATTTATATATATATGCCCCTTCTTTGAACATATCTATAGTAATTTGTAATCCTAAAATACAAATTTCGCGGTTCTCAAGATATTGCAATTTCTTTTGTTACTCACTTTTTTTTCACATAAACATTTCGTTACGATGAAAGAAACTTGGGACAACATCATATCCAAGAGAAACTGTGAATTTCCCACCGTCAATTATTTTTAACCGAAAAAATCAGCACAAATATCATCCACAGACAAAACTGCTGAAATTTAAATAAAATATACTGGAAAAGGTGATAAAACAAAAAAAAAAGCAACGAGAAATATAAAAAAAATTTGTTTACCTTTCTTTCGTAATCACGGTTTGGTACCGCGAGCCAGGGCAGATCGGCTACGTGGGCGCGGAAACTCGCCTCGAAATCGAGCATGTCGTTCATGTTGCTCCAGAGCACCACGTGGACGACCTCGAATCTCTTCTTCTTCTCGTCACCGGCGTTGTTGCCTGTTGTTTGCGCGCCGTTTACGCTCGCGTACAAGTCGGCCAGCTGACGCGTGAAATCGTCGCAGCTCGCGTCCGGATTCACAAAGCTAAAGTACATGCCGATGATCTCGCAAGCGGGCCGGCCATCCTCGTGTACGAGGGACGCGGCTGCCGAGTCTATCGACATTCTGTCGTTTACCTGGCTGCAACGCACAAGTTGCTTGCCGAACAGCCGGTGCTGCCAGCACGTAGGCTTGCCGGTGACGGTAGTGGTAGTGGTGGTGGTGGTGGTGGTGGCGGTAGTCGCGGCCGTCGTCAACCTGGGCTTTCTCGCGGCGTTCGGGGATACCTGTTCACTGACGCACGCGGCCATCGTTCTCCTCACGATTAAACAATCCGGTGTCGCGTGACGGGACGCAGCTTGTTGAAGCGCTTTCCTATCTACGGAGAAAGGATTGACACAAAGCCTTGCCGGTACACCGTTCTCTGAATTATCCGCGAGAAGAAACACCACACACCGCGTGCGCACGCGAACTGATTCGACTAACTTGTATTTTCCCGAAGCTGGCGACTGAAGCGCGCGGCTTCAGTTTCCGGGCGCATCCGAGTCGCGCAGCTCGGCCGCGCGAGGATATTAATTAACACCGCGCCAAGTATTTAAATTTTACTTTTCTCTATCTTCGAAATGCCTCGAAGTGTGCGTATTCTCGTTTCGTTTTTCAATTTCTCTCAATATAGATGCTTTATTTTTCATCCGGCGAAATTGAAGTCAGAAACTGTGTCAGAAATTGTGTCACTATCTTATCTTTTGTGTTAATTGAAAAAAAGATACCTCGAATTTATTTCTAATTCCATTATCACAGCGCCAAGTGGTCAAATTATCTGTTTTAAAGAAGAAAAAGATTTCTTTTGTGGAAAGAAGATGCGCGTAAACACTGTGCGGCTGTTTTCTCACTGTTAATTATTAATTATTGATAGTCAGACACAAGATTAACTCACAACCAAGTTATGTCGATTTTGTGCCCGACTGTGTTTTTATTTCGAACTAATTTATGTAAAAACAAAAAAAAAAAAAAAGAGAAAATTACATTTTGCTAAACCGGTAACAAAGTCTCAGCCGGGATTAAAACAGCTGATCTGTGACCAAGCAAACTTGACTGCCGCACCGACTGTCGCACCGGGTTTTAAACTAACTATAGATTGTCTTTTTTTTCTAGCTGGTGTAATACCGCGTATATCAAGCAGAAAATAACCGGGTCTAACGAGAGAAGAGAACGGGAGAGAGAGAGAATGTCGACTGATATTAGAATCTGATCGTGAGAGAAGAAGGCGGCACAATTATTGAAAATTCACGCGATCTTTCGGCGATCAATTGGTTCTCTTCTGAGAGGGAGAAAAAGAGAGAGAAAGAGAGAGAGAGACAGACGAGGAAAGAGAGAACACGAAACATGGAGATTGAACAACAATATGCTCTCTCGATTGGGTCTGCGTGTGCGCAACGTCGTCGTTTACTTACAACCGATTGTGCTTTTTAAAAATGCCGGACATTACAGCGAGATGCTCTACCGTCTGTCAAACCTAACTCTCGACAGTCTTCCGCCGTTGTACCTACAAGATTTGAACAGAACGTACGGTGACATCTCTTGTTGAGCTGTGACACGGAGAAGAAAAAATACGCGGTGGAGAATCGGCGGTCTACGTCTTACGGAAGGTCGTGGTGCGGTAGCCGCTCGTCGAATTGAGCGCGTAGTTTGTGCGGTAGCCACCGCGGTCGGTTAACGAGAAAATTAGTTCTCTCTTTCCGTCCTTGTCCCTTGGCGTTGCGCACCGTTGTGTCGCGGTCAAACCGCGCGCACCTCGCTTATCAGTGAATTATACCCTATGTTTTACATACGTTTTAATCGCACATCATCAAACGTTGTCGCGAAGAAAAGAGAGAGAGAATGTGTGTGTGTGTGTGTGTGTGTGTGCGTGCGTGTGTCCCAGTGTGTCCTCTTGATCAATGATGCATCGTATCTAGCCACGTTCGTCCCGTCAACGGGTGTCGTCCATATGCAACATTCCTCGGCCGGTTTCCGCGACCTCGCCGCGGCACTTCGATCGTAACGACATCCGCAGATAATACGCGGCGGTGCGCGAGTCGCGGCTCTCCGCAAAGAAGTGCGCCGCTTTGGGGAAGAGGGAGAGGAAAAGAGAAATATAGGAGGAGAGAGAAAGAGAACGTTAGTGCGATGCGCCACGATGTCGCGCTACGTTCCTACTATTGCGTGCCGCACGCTCTAATTGTCTTGTACGCGTAATTCGGTGCTGCGATGGACTGATACATTTTTGCCGCGCGCTCAAACAACAATCGCTCCGGAAAGCAAAAGGTGGGTATCTTCGAGAGTTGCTTCGAGAGTACAGATAACAGTTGTATAATAAACGGGGTGAGTCAACGCGCGCAATGTGTAAACAGCAGAATACTTCTCGAAGTGTTTCGAAAGCGTTTTCGCGATTTTTTCGTTATCTGGCGTTTCCTAATCAGACAATTCAGAAGGTATCGCTAATCAGCTGCGTTCTAACGAAGTCTCAACTGATGTGTATTTTGCATTCGATATAATGTGTTTAAATAAACAGTAGTTACGTTGTCTTACTCTGCGTATTACATATCGATAAGAATTGTCTGCATTTCAGAGAGTTACAATGAGTTCACAACCGATTGTGGTACCTGGAGATCATCACCGTCCTCAGGTGGAGACTCATTCTGTGTCAGTTGGGAGTTCGACAGATCCTTTCAAGACCATGACACCGCCGAATGTTAGCCGCTCTCTCAGTCGTAAGTACATTTATTTTATGTCACTTAATTGTCATTTAATATGTTTCATTTTATTTGATCACAAATGTCTTTAAGCCAAAATATTATAGATCTTCTCTAATTATTTTTAAGACAAATTTAAATTATTAATGGCAATAATAATTGATGGTTGTCTCATTTATTTACTTATTTATTGTTTGTAACTTGGCAAATAGAATATAATTAAATGACGAAATAGGGGAAAAAGGAACAGCAATTAAGAGACAGAATTCCTGAAAGCGACTACAGTGTGTATGTTTGGTATAAGCTTGTTAATGACGCATAAATTGCATAGCACGTCTCCGCAGAACTCTTTTCCCCTGTTATTAAAAGTGTTCTACACAAGAGAGATCCTAGGGTTTTACATAATATTCTCACAAGTAATTACATCTACTTATGTAAGATCAACACTTGTACAGATCAAAGTATATTCATCCAAGTGTTGTACAGTTTGTTCTAAATGCATGGAAGAGTGTTTTTCTAATGGGTGTAGACTTATTTTCAAAATATATACGATAATCACAAATTTCATAACTGGATCAATTTCTTTAAAATGTATGTTACATAATATACAATCATAATATATATGCAACAAATATTTATACGAGAAATTATTTTTAACTGGAAAAGTGTAACAGAAACAACCGATTGCGATGAGAATACATATTATTGATTTGTAATATGTATGCAACTCTTGTTTTTAATAATGTTTTTGTGTTCTTTGTGCGCTCACCAATCTCGAAAGTATCCAACATGTAAAACTACTACTTGGTAATCCAACGCCAATAAAGATACGTCAGGCATATATAGTTATGACAGCTCATTAATATGAATGAAATGTGTACTATAGCAAGAACCAACTCTCTTGGAAAAATGGAAATCAATATATATATATATCCTGAGAGTGTAACAAACTGCGTTTCTCTCGAAGTCCAAGTAGAAATTCTCGTCACTATAAACTGTTATTTGTTGCGAATAACTTGAACCTCGTGACTTATTTTTAATTCCTGTTTTCTTTTATCTATAATAAAATGTACAATAAAGACCACGTACGATTCCAAATATGTACCTAAATCTGTATAAAAAAAAAAAAGTTTGTTATGACGAGTTTTTATTGTGTTTTAAACATATACAATAATTTTCTAAAAACGTTTATTTATAGCTGCAGAAAGCGAGTAAAACCGAGTATCTATACGTATTACAATTTATTAAAATTCAGAACGTTTTAGCTGAATGACGCGTCAAAGTGACAAAGTTTTTTTGCTAATTTCTTGAAACGTTTGTCACAATTTAATTGTCACATTTAATCACGGTATACTGTAATAACCACAATCACTTTTTTAAACATGTATTACGCAGTGTTCAATTTGTACACGTATATTTCTCTAACGTCTCTATCTTGCTTCTGTAACTTGGCCGCATGCAGCAATATAAAAGTTACAGCATGTTCTATTCTGCATGTATAAGCATGACTATTATCTTTTTTTGTTTTGTTTTTTTTTTTTTGTTTTTTTTTTGTAATAGGCGAACAGACACTACACAGTGTGTGTCTTTTAATTCAAATTCACGTGTGAGCGTATAAATCTTAAAAACTCATACTCTCGTATTTATCGCAGAAAAACAACAATTACAAAAATATTTCAATATATATATTTCTTTTTTTGTTTATCTTTATGTATTAACATCTCTTTTTTGTAACTTAAAAGATACAAAGTTTCCGCAACCGACGAGCAATCGCCGGCAATTATCGTTCTCACAAATTTTATATACGTATATATATATACACACACATATATATTTTCTTATTTATGTGTCTAACGTAAATCGTACAATGCGACGATGTATATATCTCGAGTGCGACTGAATATGAGTGCTAAATACTTAGAACCAGCGGATCGACAACCCCGACGAAGCAGCATCCAAGCACAGTCTACACCATTACCTAAACTTCCGTCAACCGAGTCCCTCACGACAAGCGTAAATATTACAGCCGGTGCACCTCCAGTTTCTCCAGGTATATAAACTAAAATTCATATAGAAAATTTTCAAGAGTAATACAATCTGTTGTGTTTTTCTTCCGTAAGATCTGAGATAACTGAGTTAGTACTTGAGCAGCTACTGAACTTTTCTATTTTGAGTGCTTTTTATTTCCGTAGCTTTTATAGGCGCATAATCGCCAGACAATTTTCGATATTATGCCTTGCAAACCTCCTCGATACCTATATTCTCTTATTTGATATATAATATTTTTACAATTTTCGAACTCTATGTTTACGCGTGTGTATAAAGTTTACACTTATTATAAATAGATATACCTGCACTTTTTATAAGCTTTCTCTCTTACGTAATAATAAGCTTTGAATAGATAAAAGTATTTCATTAATAGTATTTCATTAATAGTATCATTTACTGAGGAATCATTATAGTAGACTGTACATAAGACTATATATGAGGGTGTGCGTAGATCAAATTTATGTAAATTCAGTGATGAAATAATGTTTAAGTTTGTGTTGTACATTATATCATATAATATAATGTACATATAATATATTAAAAAATATATATAATATATTATATATTTTTTTTTCGAGGTTTGCATCAAATTTAATTACAATCTTTATGGATTCGTCAAATAAAATTTGATCTGATGCAAAAATTAATTGCATGTTGTTTTTTATTCAAGAAATATTTTATCTTTTCTTCTAGTAACTATGTGCATATACATGTATGTGTATATTTCTTTATAGTTAAGCATGATTTTGTTGCTAATCAGCTTGCAAAATAACACGCCAAATTAATATATCTGTAATTAGTACGGATGATACAAATTGGATGGAAAACCAAGATCTCGACTTAATTTCAATTCTTGAAAGTATGATTTTTGAAATTTGATGCAGATCTTGTAAAGCGTTCTATCTATATTGTGCACATATTAACATAATACATTACTAATATTTACTTATTAAAAGAAAAAATTAGATTTTATATTATACACCTGTTGGAAAACAAGTCAATAAGTAAATACGGATTTTCTCTTAATACATATTAAGAACACACATACATACATACATAATAAAAACGAGTGGGTTATATATAAATATATATATATATATATTTACACATTTGTTTGATAAAATTATACATGTACACGCTAGAATATACATAATAATTTCTAGAGCTATGTATATTTTCTCGAATATTTTACGTTCTACTGTTAGTTATGTCTCTCTTCATTTCAAACGTAGTTTGAAAGTTTTAGTTAAGTAATTAGAAAAACAATAACTTGGTTTTATATGTACATATATATAGTTACTTATGTATCTACTAATAAAAACATAATAAAAGAAAAAATAAATTAAATTTTAATTAAGATTTGCGAAGTAGAATTAGAAAATAATTCTGATTTGTTTAGATGAATGCGTGTGGAAAAATTGTAGGTATTCTGTGTATTATATATAAGATGAAATAATTTATCTTGTAGTTTTTGTACACTTTGGCACTTTAAATTTTGTTACAAACAGTATTATTTTCACATCGTGTGTACGCATGCGTTGTCGTTTTAAACGTGTAAGGATAAATTTGGTTTTGTATTATTTTATTTTAGAATTGTTTTGTTATTTTGAATCATTTAGTGTTTTTAAAAATGCAGTTTAGTTCTTAAGGTTTGTATACTTTTAACAATTTACATTTTTTATTTTTTTTTTTTATAATTGTCAACAGTATTTTACATAATAACAATATCTCATTGCTTAATTTAATTGTTAACAATTTTTTTCTATTCCTAATATTGTTTTTACAACGTAAAAATTTAGAATTTTTAAATATACTAACTGCATTACGTGCGCGTACAAACTAATAAATATTGATGTAAATACTAAATAATTATTTTCTAATAGTATATCTATGCTTTATATATACATATGTGTGTATTATATATTAGAAAGATGTTTTTTTAAATACAAAAGTTGTAAAATTTTCTAAAACAAACTCTCTTCAAATTTTAAAGCCACACTATTTTTCAACTACAATGTTGCCATCTCTGCTGACATATATAACTCTTTGTAAATATTATTATAAAATATTGCAAAAAAATAATGCAAGATCACATATGTTATAGGGCTTTCCGCAATGGGTGAAGGTCAGAAATTCGATAATTCATCAGATAAGGTAATTTTTTTTTCGCAACTGCTAAGAAAGTTTGACTTTTAAACATAATATGTGTCATGCTTGATCTTAAAATAACAATCCTTTTTAGTCAATGGATTCGTGTAAATTAACACGAAAAGAATCGTACAAAGCTCAGAGGAAGAATTATCGAATGGAGAAGAAAAGAGTGGCGAACGAGCTCTTAAGTTCTTTTAAGGATCCAACCGTTATTGTTATGAGTGATTGGCTGAAGATTCGCGGCACGTTGAAAAGTTGGACGAAGTTATGGTGCATTTTGAAACCCGGATTACTGCTAATATACAAAAGTCCCAAAACTAAAGTTCGTATGTCTATCATTTTTTTCACTTGTGTTTTATTTGATTATTTTTGCTCGCTGTATTATAGAATTATACACGCATCTGTTGACAGAGCAATCATTGGGTGGGAACGGTACTACTTAACACGTGTCAAGTTATAGAACGTCCGAGTAAGAAGGATGGATTTTGTTTCAAAGTGTTTCATCCTTTGGAACAATCTATATGGGCTCCTCGCGGTCCGGAGAAAGAAGCTATCGGTACGAGTTTCTCATGATTTTATTATTAGCACGTATACATGAAAGTGGTTTCTTTCTTTTTTTTAATATAAAGTAAATTGCGTTCTGACGTGCAATATTTGTTTTGTGATATAGAAATATAAAAGAAAGAAATATAATAGAATTATATATATTTGTAGAGTAATTAATATGTAAGTTTTTTATTCGATAATGATTTCAATTGTGCGTGTTATATGTACATTTTTTCAGGTGCAGTTGTACAACCGCTGCCAACGTCTTATTTAATTTTTCGAGCGCCATCTCAAGCGGCAGGGAAATGCTGGTTGGACGCACTTGAACTGTCGTTGCGTTGCTCTTCGTTGATAGTGCGCTCGACAAGCGCATTACCGCGTCCTTTGCCGCACGATGCCACCACCACTCATGAGACTCAATGGAGCGAGGCTGATTATGAAAAGCACTTTGACGATCATGGTTAGTACTATCAAAGCTTCCTATTTGCGACATTCATGTATGAAAATCGCCGATAAAAATGGAATAATGTGCTTGGATAAATATTATATATATATATATATATATGTTGCAAAGTTATATGTATATATAGTATATACATACATGCAAATTCATAGTTTAAGCACTATAAAATATGTGCGCATCGTTAGTAACGACATTATTACGCGTTATTACCTTAATTTCGACATTTATTACTTACGTTGAAATTTCTGACAAAACAAAAGAAGATAACGAAAATATCGATATTTATATGCACACGATGGAACAGTATTAATAAAGAATTCGATTCGTCAAGAAATTTACGAATCAGAAAAGTATGTCGTACAAGAGAAGTGCGATTTGTGAATTATGATGAATGATGTATGGTGATCTGGTAATTCGTGTACTTGTAGTGATGAAAGTAATTTAGAGTTTCAGTCGTTATTTTCTTGTCTCGCACATTTCACCTAACCATGCAGAAATCACGAGCCGTAAAAGTTGCGATGTACGAGAGATAATAGAATTCTCTAGATTGATAATTTGCCATTAAAGTTAGTCTTAGGCAAATCTATAAAAAAACTTGTATAAGTAATAATTATGTTTACTTATTATTTTTTCCTTTTTTATTCGTCCTGCTTTTTGCGCACTAGCAACATATTTGAGTCGTTACGCTCCGAGATCTCCCACGACTCCCCAGAAGCGGTTGCTGTCATGTCCCCAGTCGCTTACACCCGCCACGTGCGATTCTAGGAGCGTTTGCCCTTCGCCGTCTCCCATGTTTCAGCAGCTTTATCACGCGGTCGCGTATTGGGAAAAGCAATTGCTTGATCGATCACCGACACCTGGCACAGATCAGGAGAATATCGCGTATCCCAATGAGGAATCAAACGCTGGCAACACTCAATCGTCTGATTCCTCCCGTCCTGCCTCTTCATCTTATCCAGCAATTTTCCCGACACGTCGTATGACCGTTCCTTCTGTACATGTCTTAGAGTACGAAACCCGTAAAGTAGTAACGCTAGATCCCCCTGTGTATACCTCGCATACAGACCTGGACGATATCAGTCAGCCAGAGAATGGAGTAGCAGCCGACGCAGAAATTAGCGCCTCGGATAGCGAATCCGAAGCGTCAGCTAAAGAAGATCAGGATCAATGTTCCGAGCAAATTACCGAAACGCCATATGTGGCTAACGAAAACGAAGTTCTTGGAACGGTAGGCATCTCGTAACTTTATATATATATATATTTTATGTTTAACATAAAAACCGTATTTATATTAAAAATTAACGAGACACTTAAAATTTATCTATGTACTGTTTGGGAAACAGAGAGAAAGAAATGTGATTTGTTTATTATGTTATTAAATATAAATACAGGCTGGCGAAGTTGTTGCGGAATTACAAGAGGAACAAAAATCCTTGATATGGTTCTTGATGAAACAAGTTCGTCCTGGCATGGATCTGTCTAAAGTTGTATTGCCGACATTCATTTTGGAGCCACGTTCGTTTCTGGAAAAACTGGCCGATTCGTATTATCACGCTGATTTATTGTCTCAGTTAGTAAAGTGATGTATTTAGATCGTGCGATTGGTTTTTTTAGAAAAACAAACTCTTCGAACTTTATTTTTACAGAGCTGTGTTAGAAGACGATGCATTTACGCGTATGAAGGCAGTAGTTAAATGGTACCTATCGGGCTTTTATAAGAAGCCACAAGGTCTGAAAAAACCGTATAATCCGCTATTAGGCGAAACATTCCGCTGCTATTGGCAACATCCTAATGGCTCCAGAACTTTCTACTTAGCCGAACAAGTATAACAATTTTGGAAAATATTTTATATTAACATGACATGTATATAAATATGATTATGCGTTATATTCATAGTTAAAACGTTTCTAACTTTAATACACTGATCAATTCTTCTTCGGACCAAACTGTCGTCGTAACTTTTTCATTACTACACCGAAAATATTCAAATATTTACATATGTCTAAATATTTTTATTAGTTATCGCATCATCCGCCGATCTCGGGATTTTACGTAACAAATCGCCAAGATGGATTTACTATCAGCGCTACAATTATCGCGAAATCCAAATTTTATGGTAAATGTTTTTGATTGTCTACACTATTGTAAAATATAATCTAATAGTGTTGTTTTTTTATTTTATTGACAAGTCGTAACTTTTTTTTTTTTTTACAGGCAATTCAACTTCCGCCGTACTAGACGGTGTGGCTGTGCTAACAATGCTGCCGAGAGGCGAGGATTATACAATGACAATTCCGTATGCACACTGTAAAGGTATTCTCATGGGAACATTGACCATGGAGCTTGGCGGAAAAGTAAATATAACGTGCGAGAAAACCGGTTATCATACTGAATTAGAATTCAAATTGAAGGTATAATAAAATTAAGTACGCAAAATGTGAAAAAGTTTTCAAAATAATAATTTAATGTAAAAATATGTGATCTGTGTGTATATGTATGTATAATTTTTTATTCTAACAAACAATAAACTAATACTTTTAGCCATTTATTGGCGGTGCGGAACAAATGAATCAAGTTGTCGGACGAATACGTTTGGGAAAGGAAACTTTAGCCACTATATCAGGATATTGGGACGGACAGATTTTAATAACGGACAAGCGAACCGGAGTAAGTTAAACTTGAGTAATTTATCTTAGTCAGATGATTAATAAATAAATAATATTGCGTTTCACACACACACAGCAAGAAAGTATGTTCTTCAACCCGACTCCAGAAGTACGTAAAAACAGGTTAAAGAAGTACACTGTCCCACTGGAATATCAAGGATCGTGGGAGAGCGAGAAATTGTGGTACGCTGTCACGCAAGCTATCAACAGGGACGATCAGCTTGCTGCTACTGAAGAGAAAACTCGACTCGAGGAAGCGCAAAGAGCACGTGCCAAAGAACGAAAGAGTTTGGGACAGGAATGGATCCCCAAATATTTCGTTCAAGTACGAAAGACGCATGTCATTTTTAACGTTTAATAAAGTTATATTTTTTTCTTATTAAATGATAAAACATTTAACAACTGCAAAATAACATATCTCCGTTTCTCTCGCACCGCTAGGATATTATAACAGGAAATTGGGTCTATCGCCATGCCGACGTAAGACCATGGGATCCGAGAAACGACGTGGTTCAATACGAAGAAAATTACGTAGTGCGCACAAAGACTAGACATAAAACACCTATAATGCGTACTGGTAGTATTGTTTCTACTGAACCACAAACACAGGTACAGCGATGTAACGTGTAATTTGTATTAACGCATGTTATATAGCTTGACACATTTGTGCATTTTACATATGTAAGTTTATATTGTTATTTTAACTGCTTTTTGTGTCCACCTTTTAACAGTAGTCTTTTTCGATAATTGCGTTAATGAATAACAATTATGTTATTTACTGCTTTATTTGCTATCGATGACTTTGAATAAATTCGTATACATTTTCAATATTTATTGTAATAAATTTATTTTGTTTAACACATACACTCTCTCTCTTTTTTAAAAAAATGAGGCTGAGTTTTCTCTGATATTTAGTAATCAGACTAACATTATTTTTATAACCATATCTTCTGTCTTGGAACTGTTTGTTACAAAATTGTACACTCAAACCATGCAAATCTGAAAAAATTCCAATTATTTTATTTAAAGTAAGTCTTATATGTACATTATATATATATATGTATAAACTGATTGATATGTGTATATATAATTCATATTGCTAGTTTTATTTTATATATACATTATCATTTGAAATAGATACTATTATTTTATTGTACTATTTGTATCTTACTCAAAATGTACATGTATGCACAGTATTAAAACACGGACATGTTTAATTCAGAAACTGTACAATTATTAAAAAAGCAAAAAAACACGTAGCTTAATACATTATTAAAGATTTCTATCACACAGATTAAGTTTCCGTGACAATGTAATATTACTTATTGTCGTGTATCTCAACTCGTACGTATTTACTGAATTGATATTAACTATATGAAAATAATAATCGTTGCAGATTCCATTATTACAAGCTGAATCACGTTCCTCTTTATCAGTGCTCAAATCTTCAAAGAGACAGTTGTCTAATAATATGCCTTTAACGGAGCCAGCTCATGATTCCGGGAGTTCATCTGCCGAGGCACATACTGATTCTAGTCAATCGTTAGGAAAACGAAGACGTTCAGCTGCTAGGTAAATTTATATAAATTCATTTATTGTTACATAGCAAAACTATTGTGTGCGTTACTTGTTAAATTACTAGTAAAGAGAGCGCACAAATTTGAACACGATAAGTGCTCGATAATGCATTTACAAGCAAATATCGCTATTTAGGATAATAGATGTAATAAAGGAAGTGGAAAATCAAATGCTGGAACACGGCGAGAAACTGGCACGTATACAGCAGATAGTGGAACAAGTTGCGAGAAAACAGAGAGAGTTCGGTGAACAGCATCACAATCCAACCACGTTCAAAAGCGTCGCAGATACTATACTTATTGTTATTATTCTCTTTTCGGTACAGTATTTCGTAAGCATGTGGAACATCAGTCCTACTAAGGGTTGAGAAACTTGATAACGTTTTTTCGTATAATATATTTTTTGTTTTATTACAACGTCATTGTGAATCGTATTGGTTTTATACATCTTTAGCATTTTGGTGTCGGTTCTTCGTGACATACAATAAAATTGTTTTGTGGAAAAAGAAATACATATAAATAATTTATATTTAAAAAAAATAAAATGTGTTATATACGTAGAGAGAAAGAAATTCTTATATAATAAAAGATATTATATATATATATATATATGTGTGTGTGTATATATATATATAATATATATATATATATATATATAAAATATAATAAAATATATATAAAAAGTGTATAATATATAAGAGCTTCACACACACATAAAATCGGTGTAATAGTATTTTGTTATAGTTGCAGAGAAATATACAAACACACATGTATGCGCGCGCGCACACACACACGAGCTAAGCAAATCTATATGAGCTTATATTGTATATAGAGATTAAATAAGGCAAAAAAATGTAGGTCTCGATTTATTGATCTAATTTTTCTTGTGTGCAAACCACAGGCGGTATCAAATTGTAATATAAACACAAAATTGTAAAAATGTTTTAATGTTACTTTTGCGCAGCTAAGTTTATTGTAAATCCTATTATTATTATTAATTCTAAATTAATATAATATACAGAAAGAGCGTATAGAAAGTAACGTATTTTCTGATTTGGTTCCAATGTGTGATATCAAAAAAATTTACAATATCCTTTTAACATTAAGCTACACACACATATCGTTTTATATTTTATACATATACAAAATACTCGCATATACCAAACTGCTGCTAGAAGACGTATCAAATATTTACGACAGTACACTGATAAATATTTTTCTCTAAGAAATCAACTCCGTTAAAGAGCTCACGGTATTTTTTTATTTACGTTACACTTATTTACGCATCTCGATATCGTTAATCACAGATTTGTACATATAAAAGACATGCGCAATTTACATTCCGTATACTTGTTATACTTATTGACCATTTCTTTTACCATGATTGCATATATCTGTGTGTAATGTTTTCGGAAAAAATTTTACCTTTAATAAAATAGTATAGTTTCAAGAGACCGTACAATGATACATATATGTAGCTGTGGCATATGTAAACCTTAAATGCATGTGTTTGAGAAATTCATTTCTTTAATTATGAAAAATTATAAATGAATTACTACAGAATTATACTAACTTGGTTTTTGATACACTACAGCAACTTTTGCATTAATACTTGCATCAATACTTTTCTGTTAAAAATTTATTTTATTTACTTCATAATAATGTATCTTTATAATCATATATATCTTTTAATATTATATATTACCTAACACACAAAGATTATATTAAATTTTTTTTGTACTTTTTAAAATCCAGACAAAATTTTTCTGTCTATTTTTTCAAAGATATCTAGTTAAAATTAATTTATTATACTTTTACGCACAAGAAAATCAAAGATACATATATTATACTAAAAGTTGTAAATAATGTACATCTATTGAATATACACATTATCACAACAATGATACAAATTTAGAAAAAATAAGATAGAAATAAATTAATATTTATTTAAAATTTGAGAGAAAGTTTTTTATATTTTTTTTGAACAGAGTGACTACGTTTACACGACAATATTTGATTCATTAATTCGTTTTCGTGATATCGGCCAATCGCACTAATCACTTTGACTCATCGATAATTGTGATTGGTAAATTTTGAGAACGGTTATTACTAAAACGGATTAGCATTGTCGTATAAATATAAATTTAACATAACGTAGCGTAATTTTCATTTCTTTACACACTCTTTCTCTTTCAATATTTTTTTAAAGAATATAAATTATACATATATCTCCACATTATTAAACATTTATAGTTGGAAAGGAATAAAAAAATAATAATAATATAATAATGTACTTATTCCATTTAATTACTTCGTGTAAAATATATCACTTCACGTATATGAATTTTGCTGCACAGATCATTATTAACATGTCCGCACTCACTTTCAAAATTGTGTGTTATTTATATATGTCAAATATATATTGAAAACAGTATGATTTAGTTTTAATATATATGTGTGTGTGTGTGTGTATTTTAGATGTTATATATATATACATATATATATACACATACACACATATATATAACATCTAAAAATTAAAATTTACATTCTGTATTTAGATGAGAAAGATTCCTATAACGCCTCAGATGCTACGCGAAGCGGTAGAAAAATTACAGAAGCGTCAACTTTTTGTTAGATCAAAAAATTTAAGAGATTATATGCGAAGATATTATCCGGTTGAACAAAATGTCGAAGTTCTTGAGCAAGAATTACAGAAAAAATTGGAGTACGCTGTTTGCGTCGGACTACTCGCTGAACACGTAGACGATCATTATTGTATACCGACTTTACGCGAAGAAGCTAATGCTGTTGAAACAGCAATCAATGCGTTTTGGAAATTATATTATAAAAACGTACCATCACTAATATTAATATGTGCATAATCTTTATGTGCTGCGTATCAAAACTCTACATGTTCTATTTTGTTCAGAATAATCAAGCGATTAACAAGAGAAGAAGGAAAGTCGACATCTATGCTCGTAGACAATCGTTGTCGCAAAAATATGAAAATTCTTCTACTAGCGATGAAACCGATGAACAATGAAGACGATTCTTTCTAAATAAATTTTATTGTTGTACAATTTTACTTACATATTGTATCAGCAATTATAAATACACATTGCATATATATAACATTTTCTTTTTCAAAAAAGAAATGTAATTTATATACGATCAAACTCCTCTATTCTCGACAAGTTGCGAAACCAGACTTTCTCTCTACTCTTGCTCTCTTCATCTAATACGGAACATTTTGCTAAGAATACGAAAATCAAGAAATATATATATATATATAGAAGTTCTACCGCATACAGATATGTATATACTTATGTATTATACTTATGTTAAGTTCAAAAACATTCGCACTTTGATTTTATTATATTAACTGAAGAAAGCTAATCATGATGAGTTTCTTAATACGGAAAAAGGATTATTTAAGTCGTGAAATGCCGTTTCGTCACTGCTGTCTTCTCGAGTTTCTTGAGTTTCTTCAGTTTCTTCTTCGTGATCCTCTTCTTGCGTAGTGTGGCTCCGTTTGTATCTTTTTGATCTGCTCTTTTTATGTTTGGCAATCTTCCACTCTAGCGCCGTAGCGAACAAAGGTTTGACTTGCGATAAGAGCACATTAAAGAAATGCAACAGACTCGGAGAATTTTGTAAAATTGTATTAATGTACACTTCGACGACATTGCGCGATTTAAAATTGCTACAGAGATTGTACAGAAGCGTGCCGTTAAACACATTGGCGACCTTGATCTGATCATACGGATAACCCAGTAACGCGTTTAGATTCATGCAGTGTCTCAAACAATATTGAAACTCTGCAAAACTGTGAACGATTGTGATATTAAATTTCTTCGGTTGGTGATACAGTTTTTGATCAATTTCGAAATTGCACAGAAAGAATGATGCTGCGAGCAAACAATCTTCCATTTTGATCTCGCGATATGCATCCATAATCGACTGATTAACTGAATATTGTGGTTGATAGTTGCACATTTTTCTTGAATCTTGGATACGTCTTATAATAGCATTGTATCTGTGATGGAACTTGTTTGGATTTCTATAAAAGCCCAACTGATGATCTATTATGTTAAATAACATAGCAAATAGCAAGGAATACACGTGACACGCCAACTTGTGTGGTTCTTCTTGTTGATCTAGCCAATATTTGATTGTTGCGATATATAACATCCAGTTAGACGGAATTTTGTCAATGCTGTTTTTACTGTCGATTCCCAAAGTGCTGTTTAAAATTTCTTTTCTGATCACAATTGGCAGATCTCTCAAATTGGATAGAGCAGGTAACTTACAGCCAAGTAAACTGTCACAGTATTCCAACTGATAACGCTTTATCTTCTTGTTTTCGTCTCTAGCGATGTACTTTATGTTGGTTTTTTTTCCCTCAACTCCTGTAATCAGTAAACCATAAATAACGCTTACAATTTTTAAACTCGCGACGATAGACGGCGTGGAGACGTAATTCTCGATTTGCGCGGGACAAACATACAACTTTCGCACTATCATATCGATGAAATAAGAAGGATATCTGCCGAGTTTGAACTCGTCAATGAACCACCGAGGAAGGCTGTTCACCAGAGATTCGTTAGAAGTTAGTTCGTTATCTTCGATTAAACGTATTATTTCCTGATCATCCGCTTCATTGTCACTGTCTTCATTCAAATCAACTTCCTTACTTTGATCAATGTGCGTCAAATTATATATGTCGCCTTCGAATTTGTATGTCCTGGATGCTTCCAGTACGCACGCTTTCGAAAATTTTTGCGCCGGAACATCCAACATACGTAACACGCTGAGCGACGCGTTAATATATCCATTTATTGTCGTTTCAATTATATTCAACACATATTTGCGTTCCGATTTACGTAATCTGCTTAGTATTCCTGTCACAGCTTGATTTAAAGTTCGTTTTCGTAACCAGTGAAACGTGGCGTCTATACGACGTTGCTGATCATTATATGTCCTTCTTCCTGTCGATGGCACCTTCAACTGATGACGGAAAAAGTCTTTGAACTTATGCCCCTTCACATAATCATTGCCCAGTAATACAGCCGCAAGTGGCAACAAGGATTGATTCAATCCGTTGTAAGCGCGAAAGAGCTTCTCAGCGTAATAGATTTTGCAACGTTTTACACGATAAGTACCCGTTGGATTCCAAGCTACTTTACTTTCCCATGTATTAAACGGTATGTACAACGATCCGTAAATGTAAAAATCGGAGTCGTAACTCAACACGGGACAATTAAGAATACGCGCTATCGCAGCTATGGTATTGTCAGCTTCAAATAGACATTGCGCATATTTTATGTTCTTCTCTTTCATAACATCCCTGAACACTTCCTTTAGAAGTAGCGGGAGAAATTTGCTCTTGGACTGCAAGGAAGGTGTGTAATAGGACGCTATTTCGATCTTCTGTTTGGTTCGGGATATGATCGTCTGTAGCTTCTTGTTTTCGCAACCACCATCGATCAAGACCAAAGGAGTGACATTGCACATAAGGAGTTCGTCGAAAAAATTTGACACACATTCCGCATATTTATCATAGTCACCTCCAAAGGCACAGTTGCATGCCGCATGCGAAACGTACAATTGACATACTATACTGTTGCCGTCGATCACCAAGTAAGTATCGTGCAGTTCGTAATATTCGAGATAACGATCCGAATGATTCGATATATACGTTGTCAATCCAGGAATTCCCATTCTGTCAATAATTTAGAAATTTCACATATGTTGCGCGAGTTTTCTGTAAAAAGATATAAAAACATTTCATTCCCTGAATTTTAAAAACTTCATTTCATTTAATTTATTATTGTTCTTCTGCGCCTGACACAATCCCTTCATTTGTGCTGTTTACTTTGAAAAATAAATGTATTCTAACCTTTGTTAATACGTAGCGTAATCTCAATTTTTATTTCTCTACTGATCTTTCTAAGTGTTCCTGATCAGACACAACAAAGTTTTCGATTAATAAGCAACATTACTATTTTTGACGAATACTTGCAACATGTCAAAAATAAACAATACCGAGTACAAAATTGTTAAATAAGATTCGTCGCTATGTATTGTCTATCGGAAATGGCGTCAGATACAAACATGGCGATGTAAGGAACAGAGTTTGTCCGTATTATGAAAATACATTTCTCTTTCGCAAAGAGTTTTATTATCTAAAGAAAAGAAAGAGAAAAGAAATAATGAATGATAATGAAATAAATACGAGACAACATCACAAAATATGCATTTTACTACTATATAAAATTAATTCCATAGTTAAAAAACAAAAAAAAAATATTTATAGTACATATTTCTCATATACATTTTTGTGAAAATGTTAATGTTGGAACTTTCTCTATACTTCCGAGACGAGTTTTCTATAATATTTTCTTATGGAATGTATTCTTTCTCAAACCAAATCACATATTACTGCCTCTGTGTTGGTTACAAATTTGCTGGAAAGAAAAAACCAGAAATTATCTTACATAAGTTTTTTTATCGAACTATATGAATAATATAAATGTGTTAAATATCAAATTAGGTTCTAAGAAATTCTTTATATAAAATAGTAAAAATTTAAGTGAAAAACTAAAAGATAATTTGTAAAATTTTGTAACTCTATTGAACATTGTCAGTTAGTGTTTTTAGAGAAAATAACATATGTTGTTACTGTCTCTCTAACAAATATTATTGTGCGGTCAAGTTCAACATTTAAATTATTGTGCAAAATTTTTTATTTGATTCCGTATATTCTCTATTCTCCTTCTTTGTTATACCATGTGCACGAGCCCGATCTCTTTCGTCCCATATTGTTAGACCATCACATGCACAAATTTTCTTAGTATTTTGGTATAATCCAGACGCTCTCGCTATAATACCACATGCTAATCTAAAAAATGAAGAATGTGGTGCAGGAGATGAGATCAATTAAGAATAGCGATGATAATTCCATATGCATACTTGGTCCCGCTGTTTCCATTTATTTTCGATTCGGGACTGTTTCCTCTTCCAAGATCATCTGGATCCTCAGTAATGATAAGCGATCTTCCAATAATATCAGACACAGTAATAAACTTGTCTATCTTTCGAAAAATAGCTCTGCCTGTAGTGTCCGCTGAGATATTACCAAGATCACCAATGTGCTGCAACAAAAAAAAAACACTATTAATGTTAAATCTTCACTCACAAAAAATAAAAACCATTAAAAAAGTGTATTAGTGTTTACACTGCGATTATGTATATAAAACCAGAAACGTGGTAATAAATGTTTTACCCTTCTTGACAGTTCATCTTCAGGACCTCCGTGTGGAGAATTATTTGGATTGAAATGCTCACCCACACTGTAGTACAAACAGACCACTAGTATTGTGAATTTGAACAATTGTTTCCTTTTGTTAACTGATTTACCTCTCACAGCCTTTAGATATGTCGCCACATTCATGCACATGCATACCATGCTCTCCTGGAGCCAAACCATCAATAGTACCATCTATAATACATCCTTCTGAAGTTTGCACAAATCTGATTACTCCTTTGACAAGATTACCTATACTGTATCCAGAATTTCCACCCAACATTGACACAGCACTTGATTCACCTAATAAAAATATAATTTCCAGTTAACAAATCAGTGATTGACAGAATAATAGATAAGAAATGTTTTACAAACTTCCATATCCTTTCAAAACTGCCTGCTTTCCAGTTCCTTCAATTCTCTCTTGTATAATAGAGTGTGGTAAACTTGTTTCAACAATAACAGTACCACGTTCTAATGATATGTCAATATTTTGAATACCTTCCAGATCCGCTATACTTTTTGAAATTGATTCCACACATTTCTCACATGTCATAGGCACTTCAAATTCAATCTGCAAAGAGATAATAGTACATATCCGCGCATACAACACGCACACATCCAAACCTAAAATAATGTAATATAACGAAACTTTCAGCTGTAACAGCTGATTAAGTAGAAAAAATAATTTCTTACTTTTGCTGAAGCCATCGATATTTACGTTTTTAAATAACTTATTCAACGTGACAGAGCAAATTTCTATTTACCAGTCGCAGACATTTGTCAAGTCATATGCCAATTTTAAATCCGTATCAGATTTATTTATAACCTAAGGGTTGGTTTGAAAAAATAATATTTTATTTCCCTGCACTGGCTGCACTAGTTCACAGTCTATCTTTTTTTTTTATATATTAGAAGGAAAAAGATAGACTGTGAACTAGTGTGCAGGAATTAAATATCTGATATATAGGAAATACTCAGCGACAACCAATTAAATGTGTACTCTTTTTTTATTGTACAACAAACAGTTTTCATGTTGAACCAATGATAGCTTTCCAGCTACGTACACAGGCGACACTGTGTAACACACCCTGTGTTCCAGAATTGCTGCCAGTGCTAAAATTGTATAATATATGTGACGTAAACTATAGATCTTTAGCGCTGGCAGTAAATTTTGGAACACAGCCACAATGTCCATTAGTGTGAGAAAGAGCATATCAGTGTGTCTCACTCACACTAGTGAACACTGTGTTGCACAGTGTCGCCTGTGTGCGTGGCTAAAAAAGCTTCCTTACATAGTATAATGTGTACAATTTGAGAAGAAAAATCAGATCGACAAAAACTCGTCCGTTTCGCGCACTTTCCCTACTAAAAAAGTCTCCTTATGCCACAGCCATTGGCTGTCGGCAAGTGTTCCAAAAATCCCGCACGCAACCTTATCCCTACTTTGCCCACTTTTCTTCTCTCATGCACAGTAAAATTCTCTTCTCAAATTGAACGCAGTATATACGTATTAAATTGGAATTTAGCCAAAGAACAAAGAGAACTAATCTCAAGTTTACCGAACTTTATCCCTGATTGGTCAAATTTCGATCTAATTGTAAGTGTGATATCGGCTTAAGCGCAAGCGCAGTGAAATATGAATCTGGTTATGTGTAACAAATTATATGTATTCTTAATCGAATAGTCGTTGCAAATTTATGCAATGCTTGGAATATTCAGATTATCGAAGAAACATTGTTCTACTGAAGACAACTGTGATTTGTGGTTCGATAACGCGCGGAATATCCAAACTCGGGAAGAGTTTTGCTGTCTTGTACAGTTACGCGTGAACAATCTCATGCTACTCGGTTAGACAACGACGACGACGACGACAACGACGACGGCACAATGATGCTTTAAAGATATTTGTGACGAAAGCGGTTGGAAATGTTTTCAGACATTTTTATCTGTGACAGTGTAATGTAAACGAGAATTTTTTTTCAGTGTCAGATTTTCTCGTTCATAAGATTGTTTCTCTCTCGGACAATGTCGGTAACCTTCGCACAACGCGGCAGACCACCGCCAAATCCTGCTCAAGTACAGAAGGTAAAATTCTAAAGAAGAAATGCCATTGTTCTATATTAGCCGTTAAAAAGTGAAATATGAAATATGCCTCTGTAATTATACAAACATTATATTGTTTATACGTACATGAATTGCTGAAATATATGTTCACACTGTGTGTGTGTGTCGTGTGTGCGCGCGCGCGCACTGTGTGTGTAACACACACACACACACATGTGTATTTGCATTTTTTCAGATGCTAGATGAAAATGGTCAACTTATACAAATGATTCAAGAATATCAGAACAAAGGAAAAGTGCAAGAAGTAATACAGTAAGTAATTCGTATATTTGTTCAAATGTATTATGTTTTTTCTTTTAAATATCACTAAAAGCAATATACTTACATAGTGCAACATCTAAAAAGATTGCTTTTCGATATCAGATCTTTTAAACTTTACTTTTTAGGTATCAGCAGATGTTACATCGCAATTTGGTTTATCTGGCATCTATTGCAGATGTAAACCAGAATCTTCAAGCCTTATTACCTGTAAGCAATTTATTAGAACTATAAAAAAAAATATATATATATATATATATATATATACATGCACAGTTTACAAAGAACTGACACAACAACAATAAAATAAAATAATAAAATTAAAAAAAAAAAAAATTAGAGTTAAAGAAAAGTTTTGTGTATAATTTATAGAGTTTGATTGTGTTTTGTTTTTGTTTTAAGTTACCTCAAGGTATTCCCAATGGTCCTCATGGTATGATAAGTCCACAAGGCATTCCAAGTGGACCAGGTAGTTCACCTGGTCCTGGAGGAGAAATGCCTCCCAATACACAGCCAACCATGCCAATGTCAACCTTTAATCAAGGCCAACCAATGGCCCAAGGTGGTTATCGCGGACCTGTGATTGGCCAAGGACCTGCTATAAATAGTATGGTTTTTTTCTCAATTAAAACTTGTTTGTATTCTATAATGTAAGTTTGGTTGAAGTTACATGTTATGATTAGGGGAATGACTAATGTGTTTTATAATATGCTTAAGATTAAAGATTACTTGATCTTAATCTGTTACTCATGTTTGCTTGTAGGGCCTCCAGCTGCACCAGGTCCGCAACAGTATAGAGGTCCACAAGGTTATCCTCAACAGTCATCTCAACCAGGTTATCCCGCCCAGTATACCAGTCAAAATCCTGGTTCAAATTATCAAGGACCACAGGGATCTGCGTATTCTCCCGGTCAACCTAATCAGTACGGACCTCCCAGTACTTCGCAGCAGCAGGGATACAGTGCAGCAACGCAGCCAAATTATGGTCCGCCGACTACAGTGAACAGCTACGGTCCGCAGCCGGGTGGTTACCCGCCGCCAGGCGCGACACCGCCCGCAGGATACGGACCGCCTCCTCCGAATCAGCAAGGCTATCCGCCTTCGAACGCCTCGCAACAAAATTTTTCATCAGGTAGTCAACAACAGCAACCAGGACAATATGGCAGTCCTAGTCCACAACCAAATTATCAGCAGCCTCCGTCCCAAGCGCCACCTCAAAACGCATACGCCGGACAACCTGGAAGTTATCCCCCTCCCTCCTCACAGGCGTACGCGAACAATGTTCCGCCACAGAATTATCCGCCACCTCCGACTACCAGCTCGACTCAACCTCCGCAACCTGTGTCTCAACAAAATGCGGGTCCGCAGCCTAACTATGTCAGCCAGCCGAGTCCGGGTCCTGGCGCGACGCAGTACGGTCCCGCCTCTACGTCGCCGCCATTCAGTACCTCCTCGGCGAGCGGCGGCAATACCTACGCTCAGAGCAGTCAACCGACGAGCACGCCGTCTGCCTCGACGCAGACGTATCCGCCAAGTAGCGGTCCGCCGCCAACGTCGCAGGGCGGAAGCTACGCGTCCCCGGTACCTCCGTCTCCCTCCGGATATCCTGTTCATCAGTCACCTCACCCGACGTCGCACCCTCCGCACCCACCACCGCCGCATCAGTCGCCTCATCAGCCACCGCACGCTCCGCATCAACCGTCTCACCAACCGTCGCATCAATCCTCCCATCAACCGCCCTCACATCAATTACCTCATCAGCCGTCGCAACAATCTCAGCAACAGTCGCAAACAGCTCCGCAGACGCAACAGCAACCGTCTCAGAGTCCGGCCCCGAGTGGATTCCAGCCGCCTTCTGGTCCGCCGCAAGGCCCTGCTCCGCCGCCTGGTCCGCAACAACCCGCATACGGGCCTACTACTACGCAAACGTACGTTCCGCCGACACCAGGAGGACAGCCACAGGTATCGTTTATAATATAGTCAATTTAATTTTTAAATTTGTTAGTTTTACAATGATTTACAATTTTATATATTTTTGCAGTTTTTTGTACAGAAGATAATAATTTTATTTCTCAATCATTAATATTTTTAACATTATAAATTATTTATATGCAATTTTATACTATTAAATATACGCGCGCGCGCGTGTGTGTATGTGTGAAAAACTAAAAACCGCCCATTTGTAGATTTATAGTCCTCATCCGCAAGGAGGTCAACATTACGGCCATCCACAGTATCCTCCGCAAAGTTATCCTCCACCGCCAGGGGGACAAGGGTATCCGCAGTATCCTCCACGACCGCCCGGTGGACACATGCCGCCTCCACCTGGACCGCAAGGACCACCTCCTCCTAATCAGTACGGAGGCTACGGCTATCAACCACCCACGCAATAGAAAACGAATAGGAAATATCAATAAACTTTCAAATTTCTCTTCATTAAGATTAAAATGACTTCTGCCTCTCCTCCTCTTATTCTGCACTTATAACGACAATTTTTTTATCATATATAAAAGTAAAATTGTTTTTTACAACTTTCATCGATTTAAGTGTATGAAAATGTATATTAATATACTTGAGTAATATAAATTCACAGTTATATATATATATAATTGTTTTTAGAAACATTTTGAATTATTAAAATGCTTCTAAAAACGTCATAAAAAATATAGGAGATATATAAATCTTGATCTCCATGACATTTATGAATAAGCATAATTTGTGAAATAGCAAATATCACTTATATATTTACGATATGTATAGATATTACAACTATACATAGTACTACAGATATACATATAAAAATAGAAAAGTTCATCGATAGTATACGAAATTAAAAGAGAGTGCGTGCGAATGAATGAGTTAAATGAGTTAGTAACTGAGTGAATTTTTTGCGTTTAGTGCGCGCATTGCTTGGAAACTCATCGTAAAATAAGACATTCTTATCATTTAATAACAAATAAAATTAATATTTCGAGAGTAAGATCTTGTTTTAAGAAGAAAAGTGTCCTCTTTAGTTTTTAAAGTGGGTAATACGTAACTTGCAAACGCGGAACGGTGAAAGGATTTTTAAAGTATGTATAACATATATATATATATATATGTATAACATATATATATATATATATATGTTATACATACTTTAAAAATACAGATACGTATATATATATGTACACACACACACACACACACACATATATATATATACGTGATAAATTTGTGCTAATGTATATTATTTATAAGATTTAATAAAAAATAGAACTTAAAATTACAAGCATATAAATTGCTGTATAAAAAAGACGAGTTTTTTTTATTATTTCTAATTCTCTTAGCAGTTGCCAATTTTCACATTCATATTTCAATATGTTAATGTGCAACAATAAAATTTGTAATAATATAATATGATATACAATAATATAAAATGTACGTTTTTTTTTTTTAATAATATATACGTGTAGTTTAAATTTAAAAGATATATCTATTTTTTACTGTGTGGATTCCCCGATAAAAAAATATATATACACATAGATATATGCCAAATATCAAAACATAGCTTTTAAAATTTTTATGTCGAAGCTTGTAATGAAGAAATGCGTAAATGCTATAATTTTTTTAGCATGTTTTTAGATCTCTATGAATTAACAATTATACTTTTTTTTAAATATCTATATAAGTTGTTTTATTAACACGATTAAAACGTAAGCGTGTATATTAGTAAAGGAGTCAAACAATGAAAGAGAGCAATGTTAAATAAATATGTATAAGAAAAGAATAGAAATTTGTTTTTTTTTTTATTTATACTGTTTTTATAATCAATACTTGCGACAATACTTTGTAACATTGTGGAATATTTTTAGATTTACGGAGATAGGGATCTAGAAAGAAAATTCTCTCATTGCGAGAAATAATCCGATTGTTTACTAAGAATTGTATAAAAATAACATCATTTTCTCCTCACACGTTCAACTATTACAATTTTATATATATATAGCTAACAGGTTATATACAAGAGTGCATATTATAAAAAAAGATAATTTAAATATTAAAAAAGTTTATTTTCTCAAAAAATTATATGCTGATATTTTTTACTTATTATTGACACTAACAATAGCTATAAAATTTCTCTATATAAAAGAAATGAGAAGCACTATTCGTACATGTACATGATAATCGTACAATAGTACGGATCTGTATATCTCGAATGTAAATGATATAAATCTCGTATTGTGTACAAATAAATCGTAAGACACTGTTAAACAAAGATGTAAAATTATTATAAATTATAATTCGTCTTCAAAGCGATAATCTGAAAAATGACACGGGCAAGAATGACTAGGTTGTGGTACTTCTTCCATGTCATCTAGTATCTCAACTTTACTTTTTAAGCGTTTACTCCATTCCTGAAATATGAACAAAAAAGTTGTATTATACCGTATACGCAGAAATAAATCCGAGAGAAAGAAGAGAACATGTAAGATAGAGCTTCGTACGTGAAATAAAACTGTATAGTAACACAATATATCACTTGGTAATAAATTGTCTCTCGAAAATTGTCTAGCTAATCGAGCAATTTTCAATGCATCCTCGTCATGATTCCTCGCCCAGTTAATTTTGTCGACCAGGTCCGAAAGATCACGTTTTACAGGCACGTAATGCAGTCCGGGCACGAGTTCTTTGTAAAAGAACTCATAGTATTTGGACTCCTGCTTGAACACCAAAGAATCTCCAGCGAGCAGATACGGGAATCGATATGCCGCCACTGTTCCGTCAATATTCAGTTGATACTTATACTATAAAAATATGTGCGCATTCAATATATCTACGTTTGTTCAAAAAGAATGTAGAAAAAAAATCTGTAGAGAAAACGTAACAGTTGAAAAGAGAAAGGTTCGACTTTTTAGATGCAAGTACCTTAAAGAAATGGAAAAGCGAGACTTGATTTTGCGCGGGGCCATATTTATCCATCTCATCTCTAAAAAAGAAAAAATTGGTAATGGAGACGTTGAACAGCTCCGGATGCTTCCTCGAGATGTCTATTAAATCAAGACGTTCTCTTCTAGAATCGCGTCCACGCCAAAACAGTTGTTCGATCTTATTTTCCCAAGGCAGGTTGGTGTTACCTTGCACAGATAGTGTGTCCAACATCACTCTATTTTTGTCAAGCACGCGTTAATGTAAAGTAAAATGATAATTAAAATTTCATATCAGTGATTTGATGCATCTTGTACCTTCCCATTGCTTCCAATGACGATTCTGTGAGATCGTACGTAGGCATAACAATATCTCTGGTATCTTCGGATCCACACCACGAAAAGATAGGGTAAAGTGGACCTTTGTCAAGCACCAGCGGCCAATCGCCCAAATTTACAAAGAATTCGATATCGGGTAGCACTACTTTGCGAGCAAGTGACAGCAATATAGCGTCCATAAATATTTTAAAGCCAACGTACTGACCGTAACATCGTCTATAAATCTGATTTAGTCTGGTTTAAAATAACTCTTGTTCTAATAATAAGAGTTAAATATAAATCGATGCCGACGGTGCAATGTGCAATATTTACTTTGTTAGATTTTAATACGTAATGACATATGCTGACACTGGTCGGACGATTGTAGGTTTTGATGATGTTCTGGCGTATTTTGGCAAAATCAATATCTGAAAATGGAGACAGATCAGAATAAATTTGAGTGTAACTCTTTTGGCACTGATAATTATGCAACCAGTTGGTAACAGACAGATTCGGACAGTAACATTCTTCTTCATAAATAGGGCCTGAAAAAAAAAACAAAATTTCATTAGTTTCTTACATAAAAAAGATTAATAAAAAAAACTAAACAATAAAACCTATACCTTTGAATACTGACTGATATATTGGTACGTCTGTATCTTTAATCTTTACTATAATCTTGAGATTTGTACAAGTATTGAACACTTTGTAACGCACAATAAAGCTGCCATCATTACAATCAATATTTTGGGTCCATATTCGGCATAATCCACCAGAAGAGGAACTTCCAGACACTTGTCCAGCGACAATATCCTTACCAGGAGACCTTGTTACACTGAAAGATATAAAAAAAGCTGCTTAGAAAACCAGTATAATAAAAATATAAATTTTATTGCAAAAATTATTTTTATAAATATTTGTATTTCTCTTTTCTAACTTTCTTCCATCCGCATCAACAAGTTGTAAAAAAAAATATCTGGCCCGCATGGTCACTTCTGCTGGCTTTAATCCTGGACCCCAAACAATTGTCTTTGATGGATCTATTGATGCATCATCAACTTTTGCTTTTATGTAAATAATCAGCATCAAGAACATCAGCATTTGCATAATTCTGAAAATTTATTTCAACATAATATTATATATCATCGTGAAACTCGGTTTGTGTGATAATAAACAAAGTAGGCACATGTGAAGTTTCTTTACTAAACCGAAGTTTTGTTTATTTTACAAATTTAACACACTTACATTAATTTGTGTTGTATAGACAGCTATGAAAAACGCGTAAATACATACATAAGATTTTATTCATCAATTATTTATTTATTACACTTGTGAGTTCAGTGAGAGAAGAAAATCAAAACGGGGATAAAACTCGTTCGTTTAGAGCGTATCTCCTACCAGGGCTACCAGAAAGCCACCCACTCTATACATCTATTGCCAACGGGTGTCTCTCCTTGAACTCACAGTGTACGGTCGTCGATGGGATTCGATTCACCTGTTCATGTCGGTCTCTTGCACTCACGTCACTTGATTAGAAACAAGTTTTTGAGGTTAAGTTAAGTTACGGGTCGCGCAATCAAGATTTGTTTTCTTTTACCGAAATAACCATCAGTGTCGAACGTAATGTAATAAAAGAAAAAAATATTATATTAGACACATAAATCAGCTCTTAGAAATATATAATAGGATTTTTTTCAGATGAGTCTGTCGCAGTTGTTCACAGTTGTTTTGCAAAATACCAGGCAGTCTCTGCTGTCGTGCACTATTGACAACTTGAGTTTGTATTCCAGACAGAAATACAGAGATTATTAATATATTGCGAGATTGTGACTACAATTACTTGTGTTGTTGGAAACATATAATTAACAAACACATTTATTTTTTATTTAGCTAAACAGAGTGTCAGACACGCTTCAAAGAAGAGTAGCACCAGCACAAGAAACAAGGGCGGTCATCCCAGACCAAAGCACAGAGGATGGAAATTTCAAGACGGAACTACCGTAACCGAAGGATCAATGTTGGTCTTGCAGCGAAAAACTAGATTTCATCCGGGTCTTAATGTGAGTGACATGACTATGTACTCTCTTCTGTATATAGGAGAACTTTTTGTATAAGTTGTATATACATACATATATGTACTTGGTATCAATTACACAATAGGTTGGTTTTGGAAAAAATGGGACTTTATTTGCCATGGAATCTGGCAAAGTAATGGTAACTTGTGAGAAAGTTAATCTCGACTGGAACCATTCTTGGGTAAAAGGAAATTACAGCGGTCGTGAGGGCACTGTTATATATAAGAAACATTTTAATGTTATTCCTGAACCACAACATACTCGTTTTACGTTGATTGACAAAGTATAAAGATGTATTAAAAAAATTTATATATATAAGAAATGTAGAGTATTCTGTTTCTTGGAATTATAACATAAAACCAAAAAAAAAAAAAAAAAAAAAAAAAAAAAAAAAAAAAAAAAAAAAAAAACTGTATAAATCTACACTCAGATTATATAGTGAAAAATCAGGCAGAACTGGTAGACAGAATTATTAGAATATCTATACAAATATCTTCAATTNGTTATTCCTGAACCACAACATACTCGTTTTACGTTGATTGACAAAGTATAAAGATGTATTAAAAAAATTTATATATATAAGAAATGTAGAGTATTTTGTTTCTTGGAAATATAACATAAAACCAAAAAAAAAAAAAAAAAAAAAAAAACAAACAAAACTTAAAAGTAGAAGGCTGTATTTATCTTCACTCAGATTATATAGTGAAAAATCAGGCAGAACTGGTAGACAGAATTATTAGAATATCTATACAAATATCTTCAATTAAAACTATTTATCAAATGTTTTAACCATTCTTGCAATTTTTCACAACAATAGATTTTTAAGAGATTATGATTGAGTTCTTTTGAACTCTTAAAGATATCTACCAATGAAACTGTAAAGATAGTTAGAAGTGACATTTTTTTTTTTTTTTTTTACTAAAGACAGTTTGGACTCTAACAAAATTCTGTCTGACTCTTGCTCGTCTTTTTTAGTGTTCAATTTAATATAATACTATGCTCATCTCTCTAAAAACATTGCATGAAATTAACATTCTATCAACATATAAAAATGAAATAAAGGCAAGAACATGTCTGAGAAAAATCGTTCTTTAAAACGCAATTACAAATATTCTAAACATGAAGTCGTTTGTATTAGCTATTTTGAAGTGCTTTACTTTCTGCCCACTGAAAAGACTGATAATACACTTTGTCTTCTTTTTCACAATATATAGCGAATACAAACGTCTTCCTGACTTGACAACTGATTCTACATTGATTCATGAGTTCTACAACAGATATCTCTTCGTCCTTGCTTCTGCATTGTATTATAAATTGCGAATGAAACATCAACGGATCACCTGCGAATAAATTAAATTGATCAATAATTCCAATGCCCAGCTCAAGTTTTGCAATAGGAGAAGCAAATCTTACCCATATACGCCAAAAAATGTCCGCCAAATTGTTCTCCGTTTGAGATGTAATATCCTCTTTCCCAAAGATTTTTGTACACTTTGTATTTTAATTTTTGAGTAGCAGTAAACGGATATTTCCAGTCTACTGTTTTTATATTGTCTCTAGAAGACCACGGATATGCTGGCAATGCAAAAATTAAATTACATTTGATTAGTGTATACTAAACTTGTGTGTGTGTGTGTGTGTGTACATTACAATATTTGTGCGCGCGCACTACCCAGGTGTGTCTGAATGAGCGCTTCAGATGCTTTCAATTTCGGTAACTTAGCCACTTCTTCTTCAAGCAAGGTTTGTGTGTTGATTTCGATGTTATCCATAGCTTCCTGAGCCTTCTTGTCTAACATCTTGTTCTTATTTTTTTTGCCTGTATGCATACCTAACATCTTGCGCTTCTTTCCCTCCACGATTCTATCCATAAACGCCATGACCTGATAAAGATAAAACTGATTTTTACTTTAATCTGTTTTACATGTAAAACCTGGATATTACTTTTCAAATGTAAATCAATGCAAACGTCACCTGTTTCTTCTTGTTTTCTCTCAAACATTTCTCTTGGTCCTCGAACAACTGGTCTCTGTAATCCTGTAACTTCTTTTTCAATGATTCGGACGGTAGTTCCTCCAGACTTGTACATTCTACAAGACGAGCAATCCCTTTCTCAATCAATATCGTTACTTCGTCCGGACTCAAAAGCAATGGAAGACCGGAGAATGCGTCTTGTCTGGTTGCTTTGGCAAAGGAACCTATCAATCCGCCAATTATTCTGTGGTCGCGACGAAGTCTCAGCCAATCTAAGATAATACAAAGAAAAATCACATAGATTTCACTTGAACTCTCAAGTGTATTTCTAATATAACAATGTTATTCATAACGCACACACAGAATGTTACTTACCATCAGCATTCCATATAAAAACATTATTCTTTGAGGAAATGAGATATATAATATCCGATGTATTCATGATAGACTCGTGTGTCTCGGAAAATAAATGTAATATTAACAGTTGTTTAAAATATTTGCGACGATAAATTTTACACCGATGTTCTTCCAGTTGTTTACAACTTATACACGAGAAGGTACGAAAGATAATGAAAACATTCGGAGAAACGCAGCTAAAAAAAGTGCTATACTACTAGTGCTCTTTAAGACCGGGCTTGTCATTGGCTCATTTTTCCTCGTGCAAAACTCGCGATTGGTCGGAGTCTCTCTGTCGCAAGTCCTTCGCGCGGGCGGGTCTCTAACCATTCGCACCCGGCGCTCACCGGCACTGTTCGCGCGAGGAACGTTGTCGTCGTCGTCGCCGAATCCGTCACCGCGCCCGCCCGCCGCGCTACTTCGCCGAACGACAACTACACGTTTTCGCGATAGGCGATAGGGAGTGGGGCAGGAAAAGAGTGAGAGAGGGGCGATTCCGTCGAACATCTGTCACACCAAAGTGACTACCAACTTCGTTTCTCGAGTCCTCAAAATCAGCGATTTGTACTGTCATGGCACCCGCGCCCGAGTGAGTTCTTTAGGGTGACTAATACACACATTGGGTACACACAAACCCGCGAATTCGCATCCTCTGTGATTTCCATTGCGAAAACAAACCTATCATCATCATCGTCTCGTCGTCATTGCGCACAAAACGTACACGGTGAGTGCGAGATTGTATTTTCGTTTTGTTTCGTGTAGAGGCCCGGCGAGAATATTTCCAACTTATATTAAGGATACTTATGTGTGTGCGCACGATCAGAGTGTGGTGTCGGTTTTAGGACAAGCCCTTCGATTGAACACGTTTTATTCTCTTGGTGTGATAGAAATTTTTTTTGTTGCGCTTTCTTCTTCAATATTTGTAACGCGAAAAAAACGAAAAAGTCTTTTTTTCTCTTCCTCCAAAATTTGCGGAGCGTTTGAACGAAAGTTAGGGCAATCTGTTGCCAGAACAAATTGCGTGTTTCCTTGATTTTATTAAACAATAAGTTGTGTATGACATACTTGTGTATATCACTCGCACACCCAAACACACATACACTCTCTCTCATATACAATAAATATACTGTGTGCAATTTGTTTGTTAATTTTCTGTCTCAACTTGTGTGATGGTTCAACTCTTTATTGTCAATAAAATTAAGATTATTGTCAATATTCTTAATTTTATTAATAATTTTATTAATAATTAATAATTAATGCACCAAGTATAACATTGTTTTTAATATATATGTACAATATATTTTAATGTGTAAGAAATAACTTATATATTGTTACAAGATGCTTTTTATGCATTTATATATATGTGTGTGTGTGTATGTACGCGTATATATAAGTATATATATATGTATGTAAATGGACTTAATGACATTTATTGTTTCTTCTAGATAAAATATATAAATCATGAGCTCAGGTAGACCAATAAAGTGTGTGGTAGTGGGAGATGGAACAGTAGGAAAAACTTGCATGTTAATTTCCTACACAACAGACAGTTTTCCTGGAGAATATGTACCCACTGTGTGAGTATTTACATTATAGCAGTTTTATATCTGCTCATTATCATGAGGAAAGCTTCATTTTTCTTTGATCTCGTAATTCACATGTTAAAAGCACAAATTCAAGACTTTTTTTTGTCTCGGCGTGTGTTTCTTAGACCAATCAAATAAAGCAGCTAATAATAGTAACAGAGTTATATGTCAGACACCTAAGTGCTGTACACAGGAAGTAATTTGTTTTCTGTCATCTTTTTATGCTACTTCCTGTTCTTTGCATTCTCACATATCTATTTTTGCTCAGCTTTGTCACATCTTTGGCAACATCTATATTTATTTCTTTGTATGTAACTCAGTGTATTCATAATCAAGATACAAATGTTTTATTTTTTCGATAGTATTTGAAAAAGAGAGAAACACTCGAAACTGGAAATTTTAAAGTACAATGACTAACGCATAAAGCAGTAAATAAAAAAAGTCTTAGAAAACATAATACAGAATGCTGAGTCAACGACATTTGTTTAGGTTCGATAACTATTCGGCACCCATGGTTGTCGATGGGATTCCAGTCAGTTTAGGATTGTGGGACACAGCAGGGCAAGAGGACTATGACAGACTGCGTCCGTTGTCTTATCCTCAGACGGATGTGTTTCTCATTTGTTTTTCCGTGACAAGTCCCTCGTCGTTCGAGAATGTGACTAGTAAATGGTATCCCGAGATAAAACATCACTGCCCAGACGCACCAATGATTTTAGTAGGAACCAAAATAGACTTACGGGATGACCGTGAAACGCTTACTGCCTTAGCCGAGCAAGGTCTCAGTGCTATTAAGCGTGAGCAGGGACAAAAATTAGCAAACAAGGTTCGTAGAAATGTATATGTCACGCTTCTCACTCTATGCCAAACTTTCTCATGACACAATTGACAAACACTTAATATATTACTATGTATTGCTAAATAAAATTGTTCTACAGATTCGTGCCGTGAAATACATGGAGTGTTCTGCTCTTACGCAACGCGGACTGAAACAGGTATTCGACGAAGCTGTGCGTGCCGTTCTACGACCCGAGCCGCAGAAACGTCGACAAAGAAGGTGCACTATGTTGTAAAAAATGAAAAGGAATTGAAAGGAATTCTCATCATAGGTAAACATACATATACACACACACACACACACACACACACACACGAAGCATACGGATCAAAATGCATTCGATCAGTTGAGCGCGAAGAAAACAATATTGATGTTTTATGGAGTATAAATGAATAGTATATATATATATATATATGCGTTCTAATGAATTATTCTCGCAGCTAAAGTTGTGTGCCGCATTTACAGAGACAGAGTATACAATTTATAACTCTCTAATCTCAAATGTGAGTCGTGTCGCTCAAATCGCGACCTGAAAGTTCAGACAACGAGAAAGTAAAAATTATATAGACTAAACTACTTTAAACAGCATTTGTGCACGAAGGAAGTTGTAAAAAGTACGAACATACATCATCATAAAGACACGTGCAAGTCGATTACCAGTCGATATTCTGATATAACAAACGACTCTCGTGACATTTTTTTTTATATTCTCTATAATAGAATCTCTGTTTATTGATATATTGCAGTTCTGTAGAAAATGACGGTAATATAAAGTGTAAATGTGCTGTGATGATTTATAAAAAAGAAGCATTAAATATCGAAGCTTTACTTGGGCTGCCAGATTTTTCGACTCTACATTTACAATAGTAGAAACGTTGAGTTTAGCGCATGCGGCGCGATCACGGCAAAAAGTTTGACAGGGAACGTGTGTAAAAGTCATAGAATTTTTTTATTACAGAAACGTTATAGTGCCATAGCAACGAAAAATCAAATAAAATGTCGCGAGCACTCTTATAATCAATCAGTTTTAGACAATACATTTATATATTTTACTACCGACTGTTCTTATATAATAATAATGTATACATCACACGGAAATTGTTATCAGAAAACATTTTACCACGAGAATCGAGAACAATCTGTGCTTTAAATAAAAATTGCTTATTTATTATTTTTATTTTTTACGAGGATTCGAATATTTATTTTTTAAATGTCTGATAAAAAAAAAAAAGACATTGTACGCAGGATACTGCCATGTGACATTAACACGATAGAAATTTTATAGTATTTGTCAGTACTCTTTGTACGATATTCTTTATAAGAGAAAAATCCATTTTTGATTTGAATTGCATGGAATATTTTGTTACCTAGAATTACAACGTTTTCCATGCCTACGTATCAAAGTGAGTGAGTATAATATAAAAAATATACGCTAAGAAAAATTTATATATATATATATACATATATATACATTTAATATTTATTTTTTTCATAAACACTGAAAAAATATTTTAACATGCTTTTATCGCGAGATGTAGACTCTTCTATGTGAGACGTTTCCTGTGTTTGTGTTTGTAATGGTTACTATGTAAGCTGTCGCACTGATCTGATTTGACTAACATTCAAACCTTTTGTTCGTAAACTGAAAGTACCGATCAGCGCAAAAAGTAATAATCAAAAAAACAAGTGTATTAGTTGTGAATAAATAACGCAAAAATATATACCAGTAATAAGAGTAATAATGCAGAGTCCACTTGAACCAAAATATATATACACACACACACACACACACATAGCACAATGTATTTTCGTAAAATACTGTGGTACGTCTTATAAACATATATATTTTTCTTTCATTTATTTGCATGAGAATTGCTTGCATTAAAAATTACGAAAGACTATTACGATAATTTAACAGACATCTTGTACAAATAAGTGATTTATCACTGTTATAGAGAGAGTTGCTCATATCATTAACTCTGCATGAATTTACTACGTCGTTAAATAATTGCTCAGACAACACAAAAGTCCGAAAAATGTCGTAAAAATATCTAAAGGATGATTGAAATAAAAAATTTAGACATCTTTTACATATCTTTACGATGTCTTAAAAAACTTTTGTGTTGTCCGAGTACAACTGTACTTTTTTTACTTAACTAAAAACACAAATCAAGTTTTTCATTATCATATTAAGATAATTACGCTCTCTAAGAATTTATCAACAGTAGTAGTGACGATAAACGGATATTATTCTAGTTGTGATCGTGCTATTTTTTATATTGGAAATGCTTGAAGGATAGAACAGATAGGACCTTTGTGCCATATGCTTTTCATTTGCAGAACATGGTTAATTAAATGCCGCAGTTTTGTATTCACGAGTCGAACTTCCATATATCTGTACAAATCTCATAAAATTCATAAGAAAAGAAAACAGTTGAATGCCAATTTCTGTCAATTTTGTGTTATTTAAAAAAAAACAAAAAAAAACAAAAAAAACTAATGTTAAAAACTAAGTATGAAATTTTGTTGAAACATATTTATTAAAATTAATTATTAACAGAAACATACTAATTTTACGATCTTTAAAAAAATGTTGTGATAAAAAAAATTACAAATTTGTTTTATTGTCAGAAGCAAATGAGAAGTCATATTACGGCTACTACTAGATGTACATAATGTAGCATAGAAAGCTTCCGATGGCTTTTTTGATCGAGCCTACATACTGAGATGTGAGTTCTTGCCTACTCTCATGATCCTTGTATATGCGCCAATAGGTCTTATCGTGAAATTGATTGATTGATAACAAAATAAGCGAACTCAAATAAATGTAGAAATGTCTGTATTTTGTTCGATTTGTGTGACATATCTAAAAAATATGAGATAGAATATGAGATTATTGCAGTCACTTATTATATTTGTGAAAGAAAAAGGTTTGATCTCTTTTATCTAATATTCATGTAATATATATATATATACTTATTTTGAATTTTTGTACGTAAAACTACAATTTACGCTATATTAGTAAATTGTACATGATTGAAAAATCATGGCTTTTCAGCCGTTTCTTTCGTCATGCGATCTATAATAGCTTTTAAATTCTCTTCTGTATACATATAATAATCTATTTACACATGTATAATAATGTATTAGTTGTAGCACAATAACGTACGGCAGTTATGTAACATAAAATAACGTTGTACGCATATAGAGAGACTGCATCTTTTGTAAGTAGTGCATTTATTTTACAAAGTTTTAACTATTCACTGTGTTGTTTCTTTTATACTGCATTATATCAATATATGTGGGGATTGACAGCAATATATTTATCGTCTTCGGAACTATAATTAATATATTTTTTGTATAAGATTTTTAATGTTTTTTATATATTTATACACACACATATACATACACACGTACGTACGTACTTATAGTTTTTTTAAAGTTGAAATAAACAAAATTAGTTAACGAATTAATAAATATTAATAAAAAAAAGTAACATCACTAACAGACAATTTATATTGATAGATACAGGGTGTCTGTATTTTATCATTAAAATATCAATATAAGATAACAACTATAACGTAATTTTTAATCGCACTACTTACAACTCGTGCATTTAAATGAAAATTGTAAGAGATGCAAATTACTTTTTAATCTTTTCTTTTAATTCCAAAATTATTGAAGGACGCTATAAACCAAAGTTATACATATATATACTTATTACATTTTAAGATAACAGTCTATACATTTTTTATTATATATAATACTATTGCACATAAGTATATACAAAGAATGAATGTAAGAAATGTAAAAATATTCTAGTCACCACAATTCTGCTTCTAAGAGTTTATTTGTATGTATGTGAACGTGATGCTCTGAGATTGCATACAACAAGTATGTACAATCTCAGTATTTGAGTTAAGTGATCGAGTAAAGAGAGAGAAGTATAAAAATGGAAAAAAAAAAAAAAAATGAGAGAAAGATACGAAAGTAAAAATATAAGAATTTAAATATTGTCAATTTAGACAGAATGCAGAAAGAAAAAACTCGGAATAGAAATTCTATAGAAATTACAAATGTATGTGTATATGTGCTAGGATATAACTACTAATTATATATGGGTAATTTATAAACACATTTATCTATTTTCGTATACTTCCAGATTTTATTATTTATTTACTAACAAGAGGACAGCACAAGAGAGCATTTGACGTCTTAAATTCTCTCTCTCTCTCTTTCTCTCTCTCTCACGCGCGCGCGCGCTTTGAAATATATGTATTTACAAAATACTTAAAATATATATATAACGCAATAATAAACACAAATAATTTTATTTTCTACATAAGAATATGTGTTTTTTATACATGTATTTTCTATGCTTAAAAAAATGCACTCTTTTGCTGTCGATACGTGGTGAAATGGTAACAAATAGTGGCCTCGAAATTAATTTGGATTATACCGTTTGTCATATATATATATACATATATATATATATATAAAAGCGCGAAATATATATATATATATATATTAATAATAACAATTTCGATGTGAGTAACATGATTAATAATTGCGTCTATTCTATAATGGCACTAGGAAGCATTTATTTTTTATTTATATGTATTTTAAAGAAGACTTTTTCAAATAAACAAAAAAATGCAATAAAATCATCGCAAGTGTAATTTATGACATCGTTGCACCTGTATTGTCCTTTTTACAAGTCTTTTCTTCTTTTATTTAGAAATGTAAGGTTACGGAAAATGTCAAGTAAAAAATAACTTGAATATTATAACATTCTAAATAAATATCGATAACATGAAGCACTAGTGTCCGGTAGTGTTTCAAGTCTGATCTGAGTCGCCACGTGTCAGATAGACGCGCTTTACCTATCCTATCCTTATCCATCCAAAGAATGACGCGATAGCGCTGATAGCGCGCTCTTCAAATACAGCCAAGATGTTATACCGCGCATAATGACGGTACAACCAATCAGAAAGCTGTGCAAACTGCAGGTGCGAGGTGCGCGAGGTGCGAGTTTCAATTCCTTGCAATATAAATGTACTACATGTAAACATATAAACATAATTACAACAATTATAATTATTATAAACAAAATAATGAAATCTATTATTATTACTAGACAATGTCATACACTTATAACATTGTTATATAAGTATAAAAACTAATACTTTATAGCACATCGCGATATATCACACTACAACTATCCGCAACATTGCGCTGTGGTCATGTCGATGGTGTTCAGCAACTACGGTATTGTATAGACGACGATAACGACGACAACGACGACGGTTATAGGTACGCTGTCGCGAGATGTATACATATGTGTAAACCCTTACGCGTGTACGTACACAACAAAATGTTATTGTCGCGCATGCACACATACAAAATTTCTTTCAGCTCGTTGTGGTGCTGTTTTTCTTATCATCGTCATGGCTGCGTGGACGTTCCACCGCGGCATTAACCGGCTTCTCGTCGACGCGCAGATCCTTCTCATTGTGCTCGTCGGATTGTTCGATCTCTCTTTGTGTCTCTACGAGGATCAAGTTGGCAAATTCGATTGGTAAATAAAATCGTTCCAGAAAGCAAACTCTTAAATAATGCAATGCCCATACACTGGTCTGTTCCTCTCTCTCTCTCTCTTCTCTTTTTCTCTCTCTTCTTCCTTCTTTAACAGTGAGAATTTTCTTAAACATTGCCAGCTCTCTTCTCACCGTTACATTTCTTCACTTCCTCCTAGGAAATAGGAAGATTGATTAATGTTTTGTAAGCATTGCATAGCAAAATATCGTTTCAGGAAGCAAAATTACATCGGCAAAATCAAATTTGCCAGCTTTGACACGGTGTCCACGGCAAAGAAGATCATCGTCGCCACCGAGGAGAACGTTATTGCCGCGCTTAATCTCAAGTCAGGTAAATGAAGCATTAATTTACTATCTTTCTCTGTTTTTCTGATTAAGTAAAAACCTGCTGAAGAATATGTTCTGGAATTTATATAATATAATATAATCTCATGTATTTTCTCTCATTCACCAATATTGAATTCAAAATATTCTTGAGTCATTATGAAACTTGATAAAAATATATATATACATATATATCATAATTGTATATCTTTTTGTGTATATTTATATAAATTTATTGTAAACGAGTTAAAAGAAAGTTGAAAATTATTAATGGTCACTTGTCACTGTAATACAGGTCAAATATTATGGAGGCGGGTGCTGGAGAAAGGTTATGGAGGACGCATCAGAACTTTAGGAGGTGTGGCAGACGGAGATCTGATCTCTGTAAGCGGAGGTGTTCCTGCAATTGTTCGTGCTTGGGATTTGGCTACTGGACACATACTCAATGAGTGGCCAATAGCTGAACAAAATACCGATAGGTTTGTACAAAATGATAAATTAGTGAAAGCATAATGTGTAAGAAGTATTTTCTACATCAGAAAATCTCTTTATCTTTTTTTAACTTTTTAATAATAAAAAACATGCATTTCACGTATCCGATAAAAAAAAAAGGTAACTATGTACAATGCTGTTGAAGCATTAAAACATGATCCATTGCTTTTACAGACACGAATCTCCATTTATATCGTTTTCTACATTGGGCTTGTATTCTGCCGACAGGTCTTTTTTACTTTCATTTAAAAAGCACAGTAATATATGTTTTGTACACGTACATATTTGTGTATAATTTATTTTAAAAATTAAGTTACTTAAACTAATATATTTATTTACACAAGACTTTGGTTGTATTTGTATTAAAAAAAAAAAAAAAAACAAACTTGGTTTTTTATGTGTAAACTATCTCACATTATTGTTGTTTGCATCGAGAGAATACGACAAAATGTTTTGATGTGCTGATCGTTTCTTTTTAGACGCTTTTAACGCTTATTAATAAGTTTATTACTTTTCAGAATAAAAGATGTCAAATGGCACATAAAAGATGGAACGGTACATCACATATTACCTATTTATAATAGCGGAATTGAAGTGACGTCTTACGATAGTAAAACCGGAGAAAAATTGAAATCTCGACGGGTTTCCGCGCCATTTATAAGTCAAGAAACAGAGTAAGCGATCTTTAGATACAAATCTCATAGTTGTTTCATCTTAAGGCTTCTCGATATTGCCGCGGTCTTCAAGTCAAACTTGACGTTCAAGTGTCGAGAAGTTTTAACATCATTTTTATATCTTTATTTTTAACGTTATCTCTTGCAATATTGTCAAAATTATTGTATTCTATTTTGTCTAGGTGTGTTTTGGCAGCTCCGTATTTAGCGTGTTTAAAAGGGGATAGTTCTTTGGCCGTGGTGTTCTTGGTACATCTATTCGACACTAACGCGCAGCCACAGTCGATTACGATAAATACGATATTTGGAGCTGGGGCGCAGGGACCGTTCAAACTGGAGTCCGTGCTCGGGGAAGAGCCTGTGATTGCCATTAACGCCGAATACGATCAGAGAAAGCGGATTTTAGTAATCGGAAAGCTTCCGACTCCGATACAGAGAGATATCGCTGGCGACGCGACACTTTACGTTGTTTCTATTGACAACGAGAAAGTACTTTTGGAAACAACGTACAAGAATGGAGTAAATATTTAAGAAACGTTTCTCTTTATCGCGAAAAAGTCCGTTAGAGAGTGCGCGCGATCATTTTTTCTCTTATTTTACAGAAGATGGAAATAACGGCTATGGATCTCTTGTCGTCCGTACCTCTGGCCGATCTGTCTGTCAGCCTGACTCACGTTTCCATACAATCGCCGACCATAATGGCATCTATTTGCTCGCGTCAAGCGAAAGGAGTGACATGTCGTCACTTGTTGTCCTCACAGGATCACAGCGTCGCGCTGCTACAACACGATAAGTTGATGTGGCTGAGAGAAGAGGCGCTCGCCAGCATCGTGGCCGTTGAGATTATAGAGCTACCCATGTCCGACAGAGATCAAGCGATTGAAACGGAATTCGATCAGAAAGAGAGTAAGTAAATTCGTTTGCGCGAGTAACACAACATAAAAAAAATCTTATCTCATTCATTTATATAGAAATGTATTTTTTTTAAATCCTATAGGCTTACATTTTGTATATCGTTTTTTTTATCGAGTAACAGTCATTTATTAGCTATTAATTTTATTAACTTTTTTTTTTCAACTTATTTGTTGCGACATATATATCGTTATTCGTGTGTTAAAAATTATATTAATATGTTTTTCCAAGTGTTAAAAGTTGCATACATATTACATTTATGAAAAATATTGAGGAGCTTGATCGTTTTTTAATTAACGTTCTCAAAAAGCGATATTATTCATCCGTACAAATCAACTTCTAATAATCATCAACCTATCTATTAAGTTAATATTAATTAACTCTCTTTTGTGAATGGCTGCTGACAGGTATTGATGTAGACATTTCATGTAAGTAGCGAAGCGGGAAAATTGGTTTTGATGCAAGTTTTTTTTGTTTCATAGCTATTTAAGAACTAACGTTTGCATGACTTTTTCACACACATGTATGAATTTTCTACAGCAAGAAATACAATATCATATTGAGAATATTCGTTGATATTGAGTTTGAATGTGTGTAGTAAAATTGTTACATAAACAGTGTGACGGTTTTTGTTGATATGACGATTGATTACCAGCTTCTTCATTTTGTAGCTATATTACAAAGTTACGGAATAGAAAACAGCAACTCCTGCATGAAAAACTTTACAAAAAGTTGTCGCGCGTTTTTTTTTTTATGTAGCGAAGTATTGAGATTTGGTTATGAAAATTCCATGTAACGTAGTATATGACTCGACAATGGCAGCACACACGCTGTATACCCCGTTATTATTTCTCTCAATAATATCTTCCCTCTTTGATATTTTTTCTATCCTCCTGGGTAGTTTGTAAATCGTTCAATTTACCGATTTTAATAGTGTAATTTTATTTACAGAGATATACACGCGCTTTGTTTTCTAATTCAAGCAATTGCTGCTTTTTTGAAGGGGATGTGCTAAGTATGTTCCTTCGAAGGATCACTTCGCAGATGCACCAGGCCAGAGCATTCTTTCAAACAATCCTGGATTTGGTGCCCCAACAATTCAGCCAACGTGTCGATCTTGTGCGGGACAAGTTTGGTTTGCACAAAATGATTATAGCCGTTACATCCGCTGGAAAGGTAATGTATATTTTTTATACATATATGTACAAAAGAAGTCGCGTTACATAATAAAATAAAAGTAAATCATTTATATTCCGTTTTCAGTTGTACGGTATCGAGACCAGAAAAGGTGAAATTATTTGGCAACTCAGGCTGCCCAATATTCGTGGTTTTACAAAACTGTCCAACACGATGATCCTGTACGTTCAAAGAGGCAGTAGACACTTTCCTCATCCACCTCAATGCGCTTTATTAGCCGAAGACAAAGTATGCATATTCGCGCATTATATTTAGCGACGTGATACTTGCTTTCGCGCGAGTATTATTTTATGTTTAATATAAATACTCTTAACCCGTTGATACAGGAAACCGGAGAGGGTGTCGTGTTTATTTTCAACCCAATCACCGGTCAACCGTTGGACGGTTTGGTAAAACTCGGCTACAGGATAAAACAGTCTATGTTGCTGCATTTAACGACCGACGATTTCCTGCGCGGTATCCTCATTCTTGACGCAAGGGACAAGGTTCATGTTTACCCCGACAGCGCCACCGAGGTCGCGGCTTTATTGGGGAAGAGCACGTATCTCTTCACCGCTGATCAGACAACAGGAATACTATCCGGCTTCTCTCTTTCGTACAGCACGACTCAGGTTTGTTACCATATACGAATGTATATTTATCGACCTTAGCCTTATTCAACGGATAATCATTGTTTCATAATCAATGTAGGAACTGATCGCTCACAAAGTATGGGAGTTATTGTTGTCGCCGAAAAATCAGAAAATAACGCAAGTCGCAACGAAGAACCCGATAGAACGTGTCCACTCTCAAGGGAGAGTGTTAAGCGACAGATCGGTATTGTACAAGTATATTAATCCCAATTTAGTGGCTGTAGTAACGGAAGGTATTGGACTTGCCCATAAAAGTAAGTATCTCGTTAATTAAACGCGCACCTATCGGTATTACGACGTAACGGTAATACCACTTTGTCAATCGATACTATTTGTGAAGAAAAAAAAATTTATTTGCAGATACGCTTAATTTGTATCTTTTGGATGTAGTGTCCGGAGCTATAATTTTTTCTATTACGCACAAAAGAGTACGTAGTCCGATTCATATTGTACATTCGGAAAATTGGTTAGTATACAGTTATTTCAACGAGAAGGGACGTAGAACGGAAATTGCGACGCTGGAACTCTACGAAGGAAAGAATCAAAGTAACACAACAGGTATACATGACAACTGTTACTAGTTACTTTGATTCGATTATTTAATTTAGTTTAATTGATCTTTCGCGCGTTTTAGTATTCTCGTCCTTGGCAACGACGAAATTGCCAATTGTAGAGAGACAAGCTTTTATTTTCCCGGCATCTATAGAACATATGCAAGAAACTATTACCGAAAAGGGTATAACAAGCAAGCATATAATAGGTACGTGAAAACATCATGTGGAATAATTTAGAAAAAAACATTTGATTTCATCTCTTTATAAATTTTATTTGAGCTATATACTTACACAATCATTTTATTTTCGTTTTGCACCAGTTGCTTTAGCCAATGGCGGGATATTAGAGTTGCCGTGGATGTTAGTCGATCCACGACGGCCTACCAATCCCGAAATGCGAGAGGAAGGAGTGATACCATACATGCCTGAGATTCCGATCCATACGGACGCTATCATTAATTACAATCAAAGTATCTCCAGGGTTACAGGTGTTCGTACTAGTCCTAGTGGCCTTGAAAGTACTTGCTTAGTTTTTGTATACGGTCTTGGTGAGTACAATATACGTCTAATTTTCGAAACACATCTGATGACTATATACGCGCAAGTGAAACAATTAACCGTTGTTGTTAACAGATCTGTTTTATACGAGAGTGGCACCATCGAAGACGTTCGACGTTCTGAAAGAGGACTTTGATTATTTCCTCATTGTGATAGTACTTGCGGCGTTGTTGATCTCTTCGTACGTCACCAAAAAGTTGGCATCGCAAAAGGCTCAAAAGCAAGCGTGGAAATGATGTCACGGTCCGATGTTTTCTAGAATCGTGTACTAATTTATAATGAATCTGTTCACTTTCATAGACGAGAATTTTTGTTAAGAGAATTAAATTTGTAAAATACTATTTTATAAATATCTAATTTTAAAATACAAAGTGAACGCTTACACTTTACATCTTACTTAAACATCTCTCAGATTTCACATCCTAAGGAAACATATAAACTATTATATTTGGCCTCTTTATATACATTACGTGTTACGTGCGTGCGCGACATAGAATCTTTTTGGATGTTTTAAGGTGTGTGCTAAATCAATGTACGATAAAAAATTAGACCGTTTGACAGTGAGTATACTGAATTGTTAATTGTATATAAAACTACAGAAAATATGTGAGAAAATATATACTACACACGCACACACACGTAATATTCAGAAAAACTATGTGATAGCGTATCAAATAATTTAATTTACAAAGTGTACTAATTGTTCATGAAGTTTCTTCTCGCAACGTAATGTAACTTAGAGAAGTACAATTTGCATTTTCTTTTGTGTACCTGTAATCTTCTAGTTTCGTATTGTATGTAAGATATGTATGCACTGTTGTACACATACGCGCGTACATACCCGTAGTATTATTTCAAGAATATCTTGTATACTGTTTTTGCAAATAGAGTTTTTAATGATTGTCGAAACAATGTTAATTGCGTAACTTATGAAAAATTAATACACACACATTCACTGTTACAAATGTTTTAATAATATTATGAGTTCTCTGAAAAATAATTTAGAAATTAGCTACGATGTTTAGAACACGTTTATTTAACAGTGCGAGTCTTTTTCTTGGATGTATTTGATGATTTCCTTAACGTTTCTGCAATATTCGTTCGATTGAACATTTGTGTTCTGTATAAAAAAAAAAAAAAAGAATAAAATAACATCAATTGAAAAAAAATTATAAGAGCATTTTTTTGCACAATCGACTCCTGACATACCAGTAGAGTTTTTATGTCAAACGTTATGTCGGTTGGTATTGGTGCGACTTTAGAACTCCAGATGCTGAGACATTTCACCCATACAATGTCTCCGTGATAATCGGCAATATCTTTGTATAATTTTACACAGCATGCCTAGCAATAAATAAAACAAATTTACAAACTGTGTACATAAATATATACACTACGATTATATACATGTATATATATATATAAATCGTTATAGTTTCAAAACTGCTTTACACACCTGTAACTTAACGTTTTGACGTGCATTAAGATAGAAATGTGTAATATTCAATATCTCCCACAGATCTCGCTCGTAAAGTTTCAAGAGTCGCGCGATTACTCCCAATGTGGACAGCAACTCGTATTGCAATTTATACGTTTGTGTGAATTTGTATACATCTGTGGAACGTTTGTTTAGACTCTTCTTAGAAGATTCCTTCAGGAACTTCGATATCGGTGGCCATACCTGTCTGCGAATTACCAATGTAATGTAATCATATTCGATGATCGTTTGTTCTTTAATAATGTTCTAACTATATATGTGCAGAGAAGTACTTTAGAGTTCTACTTCGGATAAAGTCGTTCGATACGTCGGCGAGTACGTGCAGAAGTTGCCACGCGCGATGGATTACAAGAACGTTTTCGTCTTTGAACCTATCGACCAGCGGATGCCACAGTTGATGCACCAGAGGCAACAGCTCATCTTCCCACTCGATCAGCATCGGTAGACCTTCTTGAAGCGTTCCCATCGCCAACAATGACTTTTGCACATCCTTCAGAGGTACAAAGTTCAAACAAGACTTCAATATTTCGACTATTATCTTTACCTGGGTTGGTAATTTCTTATCTTTCGTGTCTAGAATTTTTGTGTGGAAAAAATTGCGAATTTATTTCACAATTCACATAAATCTGTTCATGTATACTACAATTTGTTAAAATGGATAATATATAAATTTATGTTTTCAGTAATATACCTTCTGCATCAGGAATGAAAAAATCTCCTTCCGTTTCTTTTTTTGTCTCCTCTTCTGATATCTCGATATTCGATACATCTGCGTTTGTTTCTGTGTCTTCGTAATCGTTCTCCATCTTCTCGCGGGTTTTCTTTGCGTAAAATTCTAACAAAGAATGAACAATTGCTTCAGAAGGATTATTGGCGGTTACATCTTCTTTCTTCGTCGCTTTGGTATCCTCGGGTCTCGCTAACATTTTTATACACACAACAAATGTATGAAATATTCTTAAGAACGAGTAAGTGTCTTTTTGTTGACAAGGAATCACACTCAGTTGATTGAGCACATCCTCTACGATTCCCTTCAAATACGGCAAAAAGTCCAATTTGCTGTACATGATAACGACTCTCACAACGTCAAGCACGTTCGGATTATCGCGTATTCGGCGTAACTTCATTACGATGTGGTAAGAAAAATAATCGATGTTCGCGCGCAACAGATCGCCGATCGTTTTGTACCGCTGCGCCTTCGCGATATTTTCGAGGGTGCGCACCCCGATATAACTAATCAAACCGTTTCCGCTACCTGAAAATCATTTGGAAAAATTTTCTCAATTTTATCGTAGAAATTATTCGAAAACTCGAAACGTAAGCAGTGTCACACCTGTTCGTTCTAAAATCAAATACAAAGTTTTCAAAAGATATCTATCGTAGTCACATTGCAATATTTCCGCTATGCGACCCAGTCCTTCCGTCAAAAGGCAACACTTCACGATGTTACTTTGTGCCTGTGTCAAGGATGTGTTTTCGGTCACTTCTATTGGCGAATACCACACTTCCTCCGTTATATAATAGTCTACGATTTCCTTGTATAAATACGAGACAGATTTATCTTCGTCAGAATCTGGAACAATAAAAACTGTAAAATCTGTAATAAAAATTTGTTGCAATATTTCACTTTTTTTTTTTTTTTTTTTTTAAATACACGTGTAGTTTGTGTGTTATTACCAAAAATCCAGTTAAGTAACAAAATTAATTCTTTCGTATGTTGTGACGCGTCCAACAAAAGTTCGAGAATAATATCCACCAGTATCCTAAAGTCTCCTAATTGTCCGAGCAACTTGCATGTCGCGACGAGTTTCTCTTTACACAAACTGTTTCTGATGAACTTGAACTGTCTCCATGAGTCCGAGCCGTAAAAATACGCCGGATCGTCCAGATCTTTCACGTTCGTCGTTTGTAAAAGGGACACGTTGCTCGAATCTATTGTCATAACATACACAATGGCTAAGAGCAATCTTCGTGTATGAGCCTGTGACCTCATGATATGAGGCAATCTTTGCTTGCCAAGCAATCTCAGGTAACCAGCAAACTGATTCAAGAAAGCTAATTGTTCACTGTCGTCTAAAATAATAAAACAACGTAAGTTGTAAGTTTATAGTTGCGTTCAATAATCGTACATATTTCCGTCTCCGAGATATACTTTTTTCATAAGAGAGATATACTTTGTAATTAAAAAAAGAGAAGTAGAAATCATCTCACCTGATCGTCTAATGAGAGTGGGAAACCTTGTGAGAAAGTCATAAAATTTATCTTCCAACGAATCAATTAACGATCTCATATCGTAATTTTGCAACAAATTTTCATTTACAATACGCAGAACGTTGCTCGCTGTTTCCCTAACTTCTGCAGATTCATCCTCGGACAAAGATATCAAATGATCTATTAATGTCGTAACATTCGGCTTCATATTTCTGTGAAAAATATTTATTTATTATTTACGCTGCATTATCGACCACGCAAACACACGAAAAAAAGTGCAAAAGATAACGCATTACCTCGGACAAGTTTTAAGTATAAGACCGATACTTTCAACCAGTTCTCTCCGAACTTTGTGATGCGAATGACTTTTGACCTTGCCCAACATGTCTATGCAAATACCGAGTTTAACAGCCACTGCTTTAAACCACTCATTATTCCTCGTGGCTCCTTGTAAATTATGTTTGATATCACATTTTTCATTATTCAAAGTGTGTAAAGTGTCTGTGGGCAAATTGCGGCACTTTTTCACAAATGCTTCTACGGATAATACAGAGTCTTCCTTTTCTTCTACTTTATCACACATCACAAGTGATATAACTCTTCCCCATGCTCGAAGCGCCATCTATATAAATGTTGTGATTAATATACAAATTAGCTATGTTTAAGTAAACTGTTTTTGTTGGTATATGTTCAAAAGCGATCATACTTAAAAAAAAAAAAAAAAACAGACTTATTACCATTGTAATTTTATGATTTTGAATATCACTTCCCCCAATTGCTATTTCCTGTAATCCACTAACAATACCCGGCAAAAAAGCCATGACAGTGTCTGCTACCTGTTCCTGCATGACAACATCCAATTTGTCTATTTGGTCATCTATTTGACACAGAGCCATTATCGCATCTATTGCTGCTAGTCTACCAGCAATAATATCAACAAATACATAAATATATACGTACATACATAGTAGAATATATACTACAAATAACTAATGTAAACTATTCAGAATATTTTTCATTTACCTCACAGTAGATGATTTTTCAGTTCTTGCCATTGTCAAGCAAAACAATATTGCTTGACCGAGCTTCAATATATTTTCTTTGGTATACAGTTGTTCTATTAAATCAGTATAACTTTGATGAACAAGATATTTAATGCATAAACAAACTTCTTCCTTGAGTTCTTCGTGAGCTATAATTACTAAAACAAAAATTTAGACATATAACAAATACCATAATCATCTTTAAAGCAAAATAAATAAAGAAACAAGACTTTATTACTATAAAAATCCATTCACATACCTTGATTTGTCTGACTCTTGTCATAAATTTGAATCAGAAGAGATCCGTAAATCTGAAAAAACTGCTTCAGATTTGTAATTCTAATTTTTTCTAGTATAACTCTCATAGTTCTCACTAGTTCCTCTCTTACAGTTATGCTATAAAGTACAATGACAAGCAATAAGCATATGAGTTAAGAAAAGTATATAAAAACATGTGTTACACAACCAATATCTTTACACACACACAAAAATAGTATGTAAAAAAACATAAATAATATATACTTTACCTTACTTTATTATTTTGTAATAAAGTGACAATGGGAAATAAACAATAATATGACAAGTCTTGCACGATTTCATTTGGAATGTCACTTACTACTTTTGCAACTTTACTTGCATATTCTTTACTTGGATTTTCTATCAGTCTATTGCAGCACGATTTTAGTTGTATAAAAATTTCTATGTTTAATTTTTCCATCCTACCACAATTATCCACTAAAATTATCAACACGTACACACGGTTTAATACTGCGGTCGCCTTTTAAGATTTTTTTTAATCTACTTCGAGCAAGTTCCACCAGGTGCTTGCAACGATCGCGCGATCGTAGGTCGCGTCCACATTGGCCTAGTTTACACCGTACATTTTTTTGGTACGCGAATCAAATAAAATTTGTTTTTAAATGTATAATTGACTAATCACAATCGATTATTTTTCTGTGATTTGGCTGTGATTGATCAATTTCTTGCTTCTGACTTCTGATTTATTACTAATATCTTATTGTAGATGGCTCTATAGAATGGCGTATGGACTGGCTTTATAGGTCCACTGAGCCAAAAGAGCAACCTAACTAAACTGTCGTCATTCTCTTTTCTCTTTCTTCTTGACCCGACCGACTCGTAGCAGGTTGCAGTGAATTTGTTGTAACGAGTTTCGACTCAATTGTAACACAATGGTAGGTTATTTTTTTTTTTTTCATATATAATTTGTTCAATAAATCAAACTATAATGTATACTTGTCACGTTGTGTATGATATTAATGATTTTTGCGCAGCATCAAAGGATTTCTAGACAGCAAAATCGTTTAACGCTGACGTGCACAGTCAGCACAAATTCGGTCAACGTGTCGCAAATTACGTAACAACTTTGAGGAAGATGATTTCGAAGCTTTTAAGAGTTCTTGATGTACATCAATAACGGTATCTGCTACTGGCGTAAGCAATCGCTTTGATTCAACATAATGTATTTATTTTGATTCACGCACGTCCAACTTAAAATTACTGCATAAATTACTCGAGTTTACGCAGTGCCCACGTTGGACAACAGCAATTCTCACTGGTTTAGTGCCGATTTCTAAATGCTGATTTCAATGCATTTATAAAAAAAAAAACCACTGTTACACTGATTATATATTTATCTATATATATATATATATATATATATATAATTATTATTAAACATGTTTAAACAAATATAGATCAGATGTTGAAATAACGCGGAGAATGATTTTTTTAACAGGTCAAAAACATCTACAAGGAAGCTCGTAAAAAATTTGTGCTGATCCGATACACAATATCACGAGAAAAAAGGAGCCTGTCAAGAAAAAGTGGAGCCACACACAAATTATCTGCATCAGAAAGAACCGTGTGTTAAAAGAAGTCTTCCTTTTTGAAGACTTTGGAAGAAGCTGAAGCGTAACCTTATATTACATTGCATCTATCTTGTAATTTATGCATACATCATTTGCATGTAGAATCAATCAAGAATAAAGAAAACTACACCCATATATATTTGTATAATTTATATAAACTTTATACACTATTATTAGTATTATTTATAACAGATTATAAACAGTTTTTGTTGACGGACTATTGCTAGAGATCGTAGGATGAATTCGATAACAAACACTTCGTTCAATATGGAATCTAATATCGCTGTGCAAATTTAACTTAAATCTCAATCTTGTTACTCGCGTGTTACGCTTCCGGCACAGTTTTTACTTTCTCTTGTGCTGTTGAACAGTAAAAATATAAGATATGAATTATTTCGATATTTCTGAGTCTTCTTTTATAACTTGTATAAATTATCCTCGTATTATGTACACAAAATCAAGATAACAGTAAATAGAAGATAATTTATATCACACAAGCTCTAATTCAAAAAATCATAAATCTATATCATTACTCTTTTAGTATATATTACAGTTCGCGTATTAACACGACGACATGTTAAAACGTTTAAAAACTTCGTAATCACTTCATCCTTTCAATTAATTTGATTCTATTAATTACACAGTTTAATTCAGTCAGTTACAAAGTTGTCACAATTAGTACTTCCATAGTCGAATATAGTTAAACGACATTTTTATTTAAGATAAGAAAACGGTCTAAATACTTGGTTTATGACTTTAACGAAAAAGTGATAGTCTGTTGCGAGAACCGGGTAACCGACCTTGCGCATCGAGCAAGCCGGTGGAGATGTCGGCGATAGACGGTACGGATTTGATTTCTCCGCGTGCGGCCACACAAGGCGGCGCCTTCAGCAATCGCCGCGCCACTCTGTTGATGTCCTCTTTAGATATTGCTTCTGCAATCATCAAACAGTTGTCGCTGATCAGAAAATTTTTGTTTTTTTTTTAAATTGAAAAAAAAAAAAAAGCTTTGCTATCTACCAATAGCTTGCATAAAGTATTCCGGTCGTTTCCTCGAACCGGTCGCCAGAACTTGTCTACCGATATCTTCGAAAACAACGGGCCGCTGCTCCAGATTCATGAGCAGCATTGACTGCAATTGCTTCTTCGCTCTCTGAATAAAAAATATCAAATATTTAGAATGTAACCGTTGATTGAACCACGTCAAAAAGTGTAGTAAACATAGGATATTCTCTTCACGCGTATCTCAGCAATTATATAATTTTACACACACACACACACACACACATGTAAAAATATACGAGACAATTAATTCAATAATACGAAACAAATGTTTACCGCTAATTCGGTATCCGAGACTCCTCGTGCCATGGCGACCATCTCGTGCACAATTACTTCCACCATGTCTTTCACATAAGATGGTGTGCACGAGGCGTGAATGCAAAACAAACCGGTGTCAGCGTACGAGTGATAGTACGCGGTCGCACTGTACAACCAATGATACCTGGTGGTGTCGAGAGTTTCGTATTCGCGTGAAACAAAGTTTTGGTGAATAAGTTTATTCATAATCGTTTGATTGTACTGCTGTCTCAGCAGTGTTGTAATATATAATTTTACCTGTTCAATACATTGGTGTATAAACGCGTGTACATGCCTTTTCCGGGTCCACCGGCGCTGAAACTACCACCACCGCCCATCATCATATTTAAGACGCACATAGCGACAAAATCCGGATCCTGATGGGAACAGCCTTCCAATCCTACGACAACATGTGATAGTTCGGGCAGACCACTGGGTCCCGCGTAAATAGGAACATTACATTCTTCCTGTTTTACAAACAGAAGAGGATCATCTGTAAAATATTCTATAAAAAAAAATATAAGTTTGAATGTCTTATTTTTATGTATGAATAATTGTACCATGACAATTCCTCCGGTGTATTGCGCGATAGATCTATCGACGGTATTCTCGTTGTTTGATAGAACAAGATCAGTTTGCTCCTCCCAGATAGGCTTCTGATCTACGAAATATCTATACATCGAAAATAACATTATCGCGCGGATGGCAAAAATATACTTCTTTCTTAAAACATAATACTAAAAAGCAATCAACTTAATTTCAAAAGATATTTAAATTATTTCTAAGTTATTTGTTACTGTTTACGAAAAAGTTGTACGGCTCTTACTTGTTAACGGCGTGAACCAAATCGTCGTGTTCAACGCCAACTCCGGCGACTACCATCCTGCTCGGCACGTAATGATGCTTCAGATACGTGTGCAGTGTCTTCCTGTTGATCTTCTCAATATTTTCTTCTGGACAGATCTTAGGCAAGCCTAGAGTATTGTATCTGTACGCAGCCTTAAAAAAAAAATACAAGTGTTTTTTAACAATAAAATATATTTTTATATAAATTTCTATCAAAACACAATTGTTCTTTTTGTCATCTCGAACTCACAGCGTGAATCATGTCCATCAAAATAGGTTCTTGTTCCGGCCTAGTGTGTAAAGATTCTAACTCAAATTGCACCGTTTGCCTGGCAATTCGTACCTAGATACAAACACATCACTCTGACATACATCATTTAACTCGCGATTGATGCGTATAAGTATTTCTTTTTATTATAGTAAACATTATGCCCTACTTCTTCCTCTGTAATTTTAGGTCGTAAGACAATGTCACTAAGAACTTGGGTTACTATGTCCAAACCTCGACGTTCTGCTGACGCTGCATAGACAAATGTATCACGAGATGCTTGGCAATCGCATATACCACCGTGTTTCTCTAATGCCAGCATTATTTTATCTTTGCTGTCATACATATTTGTAGACTGTAACAAGAGTTTTATGTGTCAATAAAGTGGCTACATATAAAATATCGATAAATTCTCAACAATCACTGATGAAAAATATATATACATATATATCAGCTAAATTACAATAATATTTAAGTTATTTGTTACATACTATACATATTTTTGTAACAATATAAAAAGATTCTTACACCAAATGCTAACTTTTCAAGAAAGTGAGAGATGCCATTGGGATATGCCACTTCGTATCGCGGGCCAGAATCAATAAGAACTGAAAATCAAGATAAATGCATTACTTTTTGCACAAAGATTCAAATGATAACAACTCTGACACACAAATTCCTAATTAATTGAACTTACCACCTATGGTGCAGAATTGTCCGAAACGATTCTCTGACGCCACTTTCAACCCATTTGGCAAAACTGTGATTTGTGTCGTTTGATGCTCTTCCTTTGCAGTGGAGTAAATAGGTTTTGGCAAATTCTGGATGGGTTCTGTCAACGGTGGAAATGATGTGACGCTTGTCTTATTTTCTTTTAGATCAGGAGGTATTCGTTGAGACGAAAAATTATATCTCTGCCAGACATTGAAGTATTTCGTATGAGTGAAGCTAAAAGATAAAAAATCAATTCGAAATGTACAAATGAAATTCATATGTAACAGACGTGTAAATGTGCACACAGAGATTGGCGGTTATTCAAAATTCGTCAGATATGACGCTTTGTTATCAATTACCTTTTTTTGATCGCAACGCTCAACGGCTTCGGCGACATCGAAAACACGTACATTGTCAGGTGCAAAAAATAATCTGCAACACACAAATGCAAATTCGCGCACTTCGAGTTTCTTTTCGTCGAATCGACGACGTCGTCGACGAACAGGAAGCTATGTGTCTATAGACCTATATATATATATATATAGTTGTGAAAAAAAATAAATAAATGACTAAAGTTTATAAGGTTTTTGCAACGACGACTGCACAAAGTAAAATTATTATTTAAGCATGGGAATACATCGGTCGCGCGTTCAGCAGAACAGAAATTGAGTGAGTTGTCGTCTTGTCAACACACTCGACGTTGACTTTTGGTTCTAAAAAGTAAGAGCCAATCACGTTTGATAGCTACTAAAGCAGCTTGGTCTGCTTGAACGCAGCATTATGCATTCTATCTTTGTTTTACATCTAATGAACAATAAAGATACCGAAAATCTATAGCGCATGTGACGCGAAGTATAGATTGCAGTACTGGCAGTAAATATCGGAACGCAGCCAAGTTACGGGCTACGCTCCACATCCACAGTTCGACGCAGTCGAAATGTCAACGTGTGACGTAAATGTAAAATATTGACAGACAGACGCGGAAAGAGTGTCGGAATCAAAATGGAATATTTCAAGAGCAGTTTGAAGTCCGTTTTAGGAACCATTCCGGCCGGCACACAGCCCACGGGTGCCGATACAGTGAGTGAAAACGCTAGAACCTCATTGTTCTCTATCGAGAGGTTACCTAAAAAACTATATCTTGCTGTTACTTGACAGAATTTTTGCTCTTTTACATTGATAAAATAAACTGTTTTTCAAGGCAAAAACAAGAAAAAAGAGAAACTGATGAAATTGTCAAAATATCTTTAATACAGGTGGAAAAATTAGTAGACAGATTGCAGTCGTCCACTTTGCTCGATGACAGACGTGATGCCTGCCGCGCGCTCAAAGCGCTGTCTCGCACATACCGTGTTGAAGTAGGAGCTCAGGGAATGGACGCGTTGAGACAAGTGTTGGAAATTGATAGGACAGATTGCGAGATAATCGGCTTGGCCTTGGACACTCTGTGCAACATAACATATCCCGAAACGTTTGAGGAAGAAGGTAAAATTGACCAAAGTTATATATATACTTAGTATATATTTACTATTAATAATTTATATGTATATAAAATTGTTTTGTGTATTTTTTTCAGTTGATAAACATGGTTCTGACAACAAAATAGGAGAACAGTTCACAGAAATATTTATTAAGCACACAGAGAGCGTTGGGTTGGTATTGACATTTTTGGAAGAATCTGACTTTCGTGTTAGATGGCCAGCTGTGAAGCTGCTGAAACATTTGTTGGAAAACAGATACAAGGACATTCAAGAGATGATCTTGGTCAGTCCTATGGGAGTCTCCAAACTGATGGACTTGCTAAATGACAGCAGAGAAGCTATACGCAACGAAGTACGTTAAACCAATTTTATTTTCATGCAAAAATAATTTATAATTTTATTAATTTTGTTACAATTGCATTCCAAGTCTTTCTTGCTTTTAATTATGTTATGTTTTTTTATTTCAGGTTGTGATGCTACTTACCCAATTGACCAAAGGTAATGCAAACATACAGAAAATAGTAGCGTTTGAAAACGCGTTCGATCGTTTATTCGATGTCATCCAGCAAGAGGGTAATTCTGATGGCGGTATTGTGGTGCAAGATTGTCTCTCGCTTATGTTGAATCTTCTCAAGGGAAACATCAGTAATCAAAACTTCTTCAAAGAAGGTATGAAGGTCTCTCTTTAATCATATTTCGGATGAACTGCGTTCATTTCAATTCTATATATTTCTGCGATAATTTTCACGCATTACGATACATATATATATGTATATATATATGTATATATATATATATAGGTACTTATATACAGAGACTGACTCCGATGTTTCAAATACCTGCCGAAATAGAAGACAGTAATTTCGGCGGCTGGAGTCCGCAGAAGGTTGCTAACATTCACTGCATGGTGCAAGTTGTGCGAGCGTTGGTAGCACCAAGCGCTCCTGCTCAGGTGAAGTAAAAATAATAACGATGTTTCTAAATTATTGGTTGCGTTCAGCAGAACTTAGCGCTTAGCAAGCGCTTTGCTATTATTACTTGCCATTGGCTTGTACTCTCATAGTTTTGTTAGATTTACAAGAAAAGGCCAATCACAGACAATAAGCGCAAAGCGCTTGCCAAGCGCTGAGTTCTGCTGAACGCAGCCATTGTAGAGAGAAAAAAACTATCGCACACACAAAAAATGTCGCAAAATATTTCTGCAACATGTTTTTGTATACTTGATTTTTCACTCATTACCGCTTGACCTGATTGCACATGAAAAGGCAGTCGCGGCTTGCCAACGAACTATGAGAGCATGCGGATTGTTGCAAGCGTTGTGCGACATACTGATGGCGAGCGGTGTGCCCGCGGACGTGTTAACGGAAACCATCAACACTGTAGCGGAAGTGATACGAGGAAATGCAAGTAATCAAGAATTTTTGGCGAGTGTCCTAGCACCGACCATTCCTCCAAGGTATAACTTGAATATGTGTGTTAATTATTTTCTTTTGTACGGAGTGATCAAAGTGACTTACGAATTAACAAGTAAGCATGTTTCAGACCAGCTATCGTCGTCCTATTGATGTCCATGGTGAACGAAAAGCAACCCTTTATCCTCAGGTGTTCAGTATTATATTGTTTCCAATGTTTTCTTTATAAAAACGAAGTGGGACAGACGCAGTTAATACAGACTTTATTGCCGCAAAGTAACGAGGCACCATCGCTAACTACAGGTTCGTTAAGTTCTCTTTTCGCATTATGTTTCATATTTTCTCCCATAAAAAAAAATTCCAAATTCTGATTGCGTTAATGTAAATTTATCTCACGTTCTTCTTGTCAGGACAATTACTGTGCGGTGGGTTGTTTTCTACGGATTCTCTATCGAATTGGTTCTCCGCTGTGGCGCTGTCTCACGCCTTGATCGAGAACATAAGTCAGAAAGAGCAGTTGTTGAAAGTGCTTCTCGCGACCAACATCGGAAATCCACCAGTAACGCTCATGCAGCAGTGCGTTATGTTGCTGCAACAGGGTAACAAGACGCAATGCAAATTGGGACTGCTGATTTTGCTCTGTCGATGGACTTCGTACTGTTCGCTCGCGGTCAAATCGTTTCTGGCTATCGACTCCTCGGTGGCATATTTGACGGCTCTTCTGTCGTCGCAAGAGAACAACGACGATCTACAGGAAATCTTATTGCAGAGCATGTGCGCATTGCTGATCGGAATTTGCGTGCACTTCAACGACGATAGCGTGCCTACTTATACCAAGGTATAGATAACCGACATCTTTATTTCGAAGAAGAAACAGAAGTTGCACATGTGCGATAAATTAATTTATTCATATTTGCTCACAGGAAAAAGTATGCAGTTTAATCGAGAACAGAATAGGCCTGGAAAGATTTCAGGATGCGATCGGTGGCATCGCCAAACACGAGATATACTCCCGTACGCTGAAACATCCGCAACCCTCGGCCAAAAATCCGTCTGAACTTTTATTGGATCACGAATTTTGCAGACTGCTGAAGAGTTTAGAAGGTATTTACATTTATGTTTTTACGTTAATAGTGTTCAAGAATTTAAGACAACGTGCAATGTTCTTTTAATTAAATCAAATAAACTGTTTGAAAAATTTTTTTAGGTGTCATAATAAAATCGGTGATAGATGCTAACAACGAACATCAAAACAAAAATCAATTGTCTATGATGAGTTTGTCAGACAACACGTTAGTTTCGCAGTATAAGGACCTTATAAGAGAGCAGGACATGCAAATTCAAAGATTAACGCAAGCTAACGAATCTCTCGCAAAAGAAAAACAAGAACTTGAGGTATTATATTAAAAAAGTTGCTTTTAAAAATATAAAAAAAGTACAGAATGTACCTTTCAATGTTAAGTTTTAATATTTAATGGTTACAGGCTCAAGTGCAGGAACTTCGATCGACCGTCAGCCATCTACGAGATCAAAATTTAGTACTTAGAGCTGCGCAAGCGAATATAAAAGACGGAAAGGAAGCCGTTGTTTCCACCAACAATAATGTAGATTTAGAAAAGGAATTGCAAACGTACAAAACAATGGTTGCAGACTTGGAAGGTCGTTTAGCGGAATATTCGCGGATAATACAAGAGCACAAAGAAAATAACAGCGAAAAAGAATCGAAATTAGAGCACGAATTGAAATTAAAGACGGACGAGCTCGAAAAACTAAAAAAGGATCAGGAAGATCTTCTGGAACTCTTAACAGATCAAGATAATAAAATTATGTTGTACAAAGAAAGATTAATCGAATTAGGAAATAAGGTATGAGAATAAAATTCACGTCGAAATATTTTGTTCAGCGAATAAAACTCCATTTTCATTTTTTNTTTTNTTTNTTTTNTTTTTTTTTTTTTTTTTTTTTTTAAGATTGAATCCGACGAAAGTTCAGGTGAAGTTGATACAGATGACCAGCCGGAATCGAGCAACTGAAGAAATCTAATTGGTGCCATTCCAGAGATAAAAGAGTAAATGAATTACACTCAGTGCGCGCGCGCACCCACGCACACGAACGCACACGCGCGTTTCCTACACATCCTTTGTACATCGTTTTCCATTCAAATTTCACTTTGTGTCCTACATAATGTAAAATTATAAAATATATATGTACAAATGTGTGCTCGTCTTTGTAGTAAGAGAGCAAAACTGTTGTCGCAAACATTCCTTAAAAAAAAAAAAAAAAAAGTTCAAAATAATTTAATATAAATTTAATATCCGTACACAGTATACAAATTTATTTAAGATATTATTCCCTATAAATAAATGGTATATATTTTAATTTAAATAATTTATATATACATATAATTTTATTCTACTAATTTCAATTGTACAATTAATAGGACAGCGGCATTACAACTGTGTACCCTATTCTTCATACAATTTAATATATAGATTTATATTTTACGAATACAGTTTTTTGTGTAATGTTACTGTAAATAACATTTTGTTCACCATCAGCTGCGAAAGTGACGCGATGTTCAGCCAGTATTATCGGATAACTAGCGGATGAGGGAGTTTCTTCCCGATAAGAAACGTTGGATAGTTTATGCTACGCTTTGTTGCTGCTTCATGACCGCTTGAACGCACTTCGCCATGGTTCGAGACGCTCGTGATACTACATCGGTCATAAAGAACTGATCTAACGTCTTTTGTTTGACGTCTACGGGATCCGATAAAAATGATCCACCGGACTGTTGCTGAATGTACATAGCATAAAACAACAATATAAGAACTTGTACAAGGACAATGTGATATTTTCATATTTAACATTCCTTTGCGATCCAAGTTTCAAGAAATTAAGATTTATCAAATCTACTCTGAAAACTATAAAAGATTGGAGGAAAAAACATAGAAATGCGATACAAACCTTGGCTATTTCCAGAGCTTGTGTAAAATAATTAGCCTGTTCGACATCACCATACCGTACTAGATGCGGTGCAATTTCTTCAAGCCTAGACCTAAGTTCGTTTAAATTGTCGTAGGGCAAGGTAACATTAGCTATCTGTAACAAAACGATTACTTATTTGTTATCATTGCAACAGAAAAGACACGCGCCGTGTCACGTGAATATATTTACTTCAGAAAGAGCACGAATAATTTTCCAATCTGGACGCGCCAAGCCGGGCGGTGTTATCGCCGCGCAGGTCTGTTGCGATCGACCTTCTGTATTAACGTAACTTGCAACTTTTTCGGTGTATGCCGCTCCGGCGAGTACAACATCAGCAATAGCTGCTCCAGCATCACCATGACTTCCTGAACTCATGCAAACGTTCAGTTGAACATAATTGGATACAATTAAGAATTGTAAATATGAATCGAGATATCCAGATATATAATGTGATAACATTATATATCATTATTTCATCATTTTCGAGTTTTTTTTTGTCAATATCACATATTACTTGCCTATATAAATAATGAATGTATTTGGGAAATCGTTCCTTTTAATATCCGCATCGTCAGCGCCCAAAAGAAATAGGACTTTAGGTTGTTGCTGTTTGATCTCGTCCACGGTCGAACTGTAACCGATATCCAAGGCGGCAACTTGAGAAGCATTCGTATGCAGTATGTTCAAAATTTTCCATTCCTGGGGAGCCTGAAACCAAATATTTTGAACAGTTGGTACAAGTTCTATATATACATATAAAATTACGACACGAAAGGACTTAAAACTTGTTACCTTCGAGCTTTCTCCTAAAGCCTTTGCCAGCTCTTGCGTTTCGTAGAGAATTTTAGCTCCGTCCTTTCGAGTTAGTTGATCAGCGCCCAAGATAACAAGTGGTCTCTTAGCCTCTTTCAAAGTAGAACAGAACGAATGAGAGCCGTGTCGTAATTTTGTAATCACGTCCAAAGATTCTCCCAAGTACTACGTGTAAACATCATATTTTGTGAAAAAGAACGCCAATATTAAATTCTTATAAAAAGAAAAAAAAATTCAATAAAGACAAAAACCTCATGTTGATAAGTTAAATCGACATCCGGACCGATAAGGGCAACAGTTTGTTCACCGTGAAGATGGCCCTTCCTGAGACGCGTGTTTACTAGAGGCGCCTCGTATCTCGGATTTGTACCGATTAATACTACGACATCCGCGTCTTCAATCGCAGCGATAGTGTTGTTCAAAAGATAACTACTTCTGAGATCTATGCCCGAGCCGTCTTTCGGATAGCACTGCTCCGTGGCCAGCCCCTCGCTTCCTAATTTGTTAACTAGATCCTTCATGGCGACGAGAGCTTCCGCATCCGACAATTTCCCGGCAATTGCTGCGCATTGGTTCGCCGACACATTCGTCAAAGGTTTAGCGGCTAACGATCATAAAAAGTTACATATATGATCTAGTCACATGCGCATCATTCAAATGTGTATGTGAATATACACAAATCTATAGGCGTTATTATTAAAACATTAAAATATATTAATATTAATTGTACCAGCAATAAGTGCATCCTCCCAATCAACAGACTGCAATTTTCCATTGATCTTCATCATTGGTGTGATGAGTCTCTGTCTTTTGAGTCCGTCGTACGAGAAACGAGCTTTGTCCGAAAGCCACTCCTCATTCACCTCCTATAAATTTATATCGCGCAAATTATTAGTGGAGTTCAATAAATTTATACTTTTTATATAAAAATTATTTATTTTTTATTTATTGCACATTTTTTTACAAACATTTACCTCATTCACTCTGGGTAGTATTCTCAGAACTTCGCCAGTTCTATGAGAGATGACTATGTTGCTACCAACAGCGTCGTGAACATCAATACTGTCAGTACGACGCGTCTCCCAAGGACGGGCGACAAACGCATATGGTTTGCTAGTTAGCGCACCCACGGGACAAAGGTCGATGATATTGCCAGATAGCTCCGACAAGAACATTTTCTCAATGTACGTTCCTACCTTTAACGCCATGTGTATGTGATAAAATTATTGCAAATTTATTTTATTATATATTATGCAAACACATGTACAAATAAAAACATCTCATACTTGCATATCATTGCCACGTCCTGTAGTTCCTAGATCATCAATGCCAGCTACTTCCGAAGCAAATCTAATGCATCTTGTGCAGTGTATGCAACGAGTCATGACCGTCTTAATCAAGGGTCCGAGATCTTTATCCTCCACCGCTCTTTTCCCAGAGTGATACATATCAACGAATCTGCTTCTGTCCATTCCAAAAGCCATGCTCTGATCTTGCAAATCACATTCCCCACCTTGGTCACAGATCGGACAGTCCAATGGATGATTGACCAACAAGAACTCCATAACACCCTCGCGTGCTCTCCGTGTTACATCAGAATTAGTTTTCACTCTCCAACCTTTCATTACAGGCATTGCGCAAGCAGCAACTGGCTATATAATAAGATTGAAGATAATTATATTTGAGACAATTTTTTATATCTTATTACTTTACATTTTATTAATTTCTTTAACACGTTAAGCGCAGAGCCGATTTTGCTGTGCTTTCCGTTCAGGCGGCGACCACTCGACGAGTATTGGATTACAGAGAATGGGAATGGCGGAAAGTTCACTGTCAGTCCCCGGGGACTGACTCCGCGCTTAATGTGTCAATGTCTTTACTTAAGTTACATACTCTGACTGCTTTTTCTACTTCAACAAGACACATTCTGCAATTTCCAGCTACAGCAAGACGTTCGTGATAACAGAACCTCGGTATTTCAATTCCTAACTTTGCAGCAGCCTGAAAAATTATTTACCTGAATATATTAACATGTTTCAAAGTCAAATGTTACATATGTATATATCGACGGAGAGAACGTCTTTTAGTTACATACTATATTACATTTATTTATATTATAAAAATTATCTAACGAAACAAATTCTACAACAAAAAGCAGTATAGAGAAAACTAACAATAAAAAGAGAATATAAAACTAGATTAATAACAAACCTGTAAGACTGTTGTCCCAGGTGGAACTTGTACGGGTTTGTCATCGATAAAAAGCTCGACCAATTCTTGCTGTTGTTGCGACTTTCTGGACGTTGTATGAAAACTAATAGCGCAAAACCTGCCACTTGCCAGGCTCGTCGCTCGCACAACCGGTAATCTCAACATCTCGCAAAGTTACACTATCAATACCAATTACACTTTATTATGTAACAAACAAAATTTTACCGCACAATTAATGGTCAAATTAACTTAATAAAAAAAGATTGCAAATTTATGCCCGTCGTACATAACAATGCCAATATCTACATTACAAGACATATACGTCTTTGTTATTAAAAGTATTTATACGCCAGGCTACGCTAACAAATCTTAACGGAAAAAATAATCACAACTATGTCTATAATGCAACTACCTTCGCCAGATGTCAGGAACGACCCGCCAACGACCCGCCGTGCATAGCACGAACCGAACTCACGAAGATCAGTCGTGTTCGATCATATGACTAAAGCCCGTTCCACATTAAACGCAAGATGCAAACGCAATTCGCAGATCTCGTGAAATTGACCAATCACGTTGGGTCACTGACTCGGACGCGCGACCTTGGCTGCTTTCCTTTTAGGGGACACAGTCGACACAAGTCGACACAAGTTTCATTCTGTCTTTGTTTCTCACTGAATATTGAACGAAGACAGAATGACTTTTGTGTCGACTGTGTCTCTTAAAAGGAAAGCAGCCCTTGGCGGGGTCACTGACCTCGGTCTTGGCGGGGCACTGACCTCACCGCGCGGCCTTGATGGAGGGGGGAGGGGTCATTGACCGTGGGCGCGCGGCCTTGGCGGGGCACTGACCTCGGCCGCGCGGCCTTGGTAGGGGAAGGGTCACTGACCGCGGGCGCGTGGCCTTAGTGGAGGGAGGTCACTGACCTCGGTCGCGCGACCGCGGCGGTCAGTGCAATTAAACTTTGTGCTAGTGCAATTAAACTGTGTGATTAGTCAACAATAAAGGTAGTAACGCTGTAGAAGTAGAGAGTAAACTATTTTTCGGTAAAGCAACAACGGAAAAGAAATAACGAAATGGGCAATTCCCATTTCGCACTGCCTACTGCCTTTACTGTGCCAATGAAAGACGCGTGATAAAAAACGCGAAATAATTACTTGTATACACTTGATTCAATTAGAGAAGAGAATTTTACTGCGCATAGGAGAAGAAAAGCGGGCAGAGTAGGGATAGCGTTGCGTGATTGCGGGATTGGCGGGACACTTGCTGACAGCCAATGGCTGTGGAGTGGAGAGACTTTTTTGTAGGGGAAGTGCGCGAAACTAACGCGTTTTTGTCCGTCAAAATTCTCTTCTCTATTTGAATCGAGTGTAGACAAAAATAAAATAACTCCAAGAACCTTAACTCTACTCTCTTACAGTTTTACTACCTTCATTGTAGACAGGGGGTTCAAACTCGCCTCTTGTGAGAAGGGGAACCAGGGGGTTCAAACTCGCCGTATTTTTTGGCTCCGGAAGTTTTAGTAGTTCATTTCGGAGGTGCCCTAGGCCAGGCGGCAGCACAGTCTGTTCCCCTCTCTTCCTCTCTTCTCCCCTTGCCTACAAGTCGCTGAGTGTCATTAAAGTGTATGAAAGTGCATGAAAGTGCATGAAAGTATTGTGATATGTGGATTCTGTTACATATCGCTATATTTTTGTTGTTTCTTTTACTGTGCAGTATATTGTGCTAAAATTTATTATTTAATCAACTTTATAAAGGTTGTATTGTGG